TCTGGTGGATGCGATTCGGTGTAGACTTTGGGTATATACTGGGAACTGGACTGGCAGGAACCACCAGCGTCTTTCAAATATCACCAATTCGCATCATATTGACATTTGGTGTATTGGGCATCCGTATATTCTACCCTCAGCTGTTTGCATGGTGAGTGTAGTACGTGGTTGACACCCTTGACGATAATTGTTGACATCTACCTTTCCATTGCTAGCCCTGGTGGCTCAAATACGGCAACGCTAGCAGCATGTGAAACAGCAACCGAAGGTCTTGCGAATGCATATCCTTTCTTCATAGTCGTTGTAAGTACTTTCACTGTGCCTGAACGCTGGACCAGCTGTACTGAACTTTTACCTTTGACAGCTTTGTATTCAGACTGTATGTGGCATCTTGCTGACTATATATGTATATCTGCTACCGCACAGACCGAGACGAACAGTCTCACAGTCAACAACACCCACAAGGAGGAGATGGTGGCATGCTCCTCCTCCTAGACCACAGCCTGAACTGTATGGTTTACGTGAAATACCACCATCGGCGGATGGTGTCAACTCTCCGTACATACCATTTGAGCTGCCACCGGGCAATAGACCTTCTATACCATTGTAGAATTTATACGTTTCTTTTATTATTACCCATCACACTTTCATATCTTCTTTTTGAGGAACATGAAGTATCTGCTGTATATTGTATTCCAATTGCACCTCTTCCTGTGTTATGTTGATCTGATATTTTGAAGCTTCAAAACCATATAAATTTTGCCATCACAATTTTCAATTTTAGTCTGTGGCAATTGTTCTCATTTTCAATTTCATATTTTGGCTTTTGGGGCGACTGCCTGCACGGCAGATTCCATTCCTCCAACAACCACGTCTCTTATCACCCTCGGACCTCGAATATCACCTCCGTCAATAGCAATACCTAATTTGATATGTGGGATGGTCATAAAGTGAATGTTAAGGTGAATGTCGTGCTATCTCAAACACAGAAACTCACCATCCAAATACTCGTGGTCAACTCCCATCATATAACAATCCGCGATAAGATCAACAGGTAGCAGACCACCTCCACGATTATATGCTTCAACGAGTACCTTTTGTACTCGAGCATGTTTCTCTTCGTCCATTCCAAGGGGTTTCTGGGCCATCAGGCCCATCTGAGTCCCAATTGCACCAGGACACACAGACAAGAACCGTGATCCTTTAGGTACATCTCCAAACATGCCATTTTTGACGGCGATTGGCAAGCTTGCCATAAACCCTCTGTTGACAATGAACTGTGTTAGGAGAGTATGACGATGGGATGACTTGTAAACAAGTCTTGCACACGTACACGACGGCCCACTTAGTAGCCCCGTACACAAGCTGTACGGTTGGAAACAAGCCTGCTCGACTCGCGGTCGATATTACCAGGATTGGGTTCCTGGTCTTCCTCGCATTCTCAATTGCGAGAATTGTGCCGTATATAACGGCGTCGACATTTAATCGAATTGTGTACTTCCAGGCAGAGCTATGTACCTGTCCGCGAGGTTCAGTTGCGATTCCTGCATTGTTGCAAAGGATGTCGACGCGTTTGTACACTCTCATGACTTCAGCAAAGACAGCGTCGTATTCGTATTCCTGTGAGAGTAACGGTTCAGCCAAACATTAGCTGCGTAGTTACAGGGACCCTTTCAGAGCTTACGTTTGTGATGTCAGCACGTAAGAATAGCGCACGGTTTTGACCAAACTGACTTTCCAAAACTCGTTGAGATTCTCGGCCGTCTGCGTCTTTAATATCCACGAGAACGACAGCATGGATTCCTATAAGTAAGGAATATATAATTTAGAGCAAACCCAAAGCAACTTCGTAACAAACGTGCCGTTGCGTAACATGTTGATCACAATATGAGACAAGTTTAACAAAGTCCAACAGTTGCAGTTACCATTTTGAAGAAAGCGCTTAGCCACGTTGAAACCAATGCCTTGCTGGGTTCCAGCTCCCGTTATGATGGCAACCTTTTGCGATAATTTACTCATTTTACTAGGAAAAGTGTGGAATTGTTAGAGCAATCGCTCACATTTAACGGCAAATTCATGCAAAAAGTGGATATAAAGCACGTATACAGCCAGTTCTCCAAGCTTACTTTCTTCTCCGTTTGTTCTTCTTTCCAATCACAGTTTCAGCTGTGGAGCTTCTTGACTCAACAAAACAGACAGCGAATTAGAGATACTTTTCCAAGTGGTCGTTCCAAGTAGTTGTGTGTCTGTTAAGCTCACAACGCTATGGACTACGACGTAAGTTATACTCCTCTATGCCAGCAATCTGGTTCTTTCAATTCTGAAACAGGTTGCAAACGGCAATTCAATTGACGGTGTGAGGAGTCGGAAACACCATCAGTGAAGTGATGGATGCCTATTACATGTCTTCAAAAGTCACTCTGATTATTGATATTGGAACTGATTCGGCCTACCGTGGCTCGAATCGGCATTCCAAATCTTGAAATGAGTTTTCGACCCCGTTTTAACTCACTTTACTCTTTTATGCAGCACGACGAACAACGCAATAGTCGGGGCTCAGGGCCACGTATTATACAACGAAATGCCGATGGATTCTTCGCTCCTCCTGGTGCTTCAACTCCAGACCAAAGTCAATCGGGGAGAAGTTCAAATAGCGGTGGATCAGTAGGAGGAGGAGGCAGGCAGCGCAGCTTATCTACAGGTCGTTCCGATGGTTCAGGAGGCATTAAAGTCGGTCAGGCTGAAATGAGTTATATATCGGCTTCTACCTCTTCTGCTCAAGCCGTCACTCGATCATCCTCACGAACGGGATCTTATAGTGATGTTGGCAGCAATGTTAGCAGTATTGAGCGCCGTCAACCATCTGCTCCTCCCATGCCCCGTATCCCCGAACAAGTAGATCGAAAAACATCGTCAAATATGTCGCTAGATGAACGATTAGCTCTACGTCAACGAGAACGTGAAGAACGCGAAGGTAGCGGCCCTCGTAATATCACACCTGTAGAATATAGACAGCAAGTAGGTGGTATGGCCGGAGTGCCTCCTCCAGCTTCAGCGTCAGGAGGATACCGTGCAGCGGTTCGTAAAGAATCAGACGAGAATATGAATGGTAGTGCTAGTGGTGGAACTCCACCAAGACCATACTCTCGTAATCGTGGAAGAACACCAGAACCGGGTCAATGGCAGGCTGATCCAGATCCGCCACCAATGCCAACCCAAAATCTGGAACCAGTAGATGAAAAAATCATAGTGCCCGATTACGTGACTGCTTTAATCCGTACGTTACGATCAGACAAGACCAAAACGGCCACTCCAGACGATTTCCTGACTCGAGATGGCTATGCTCAATGGATGGAAACAGTGCGAGATGAATTCCAGTTTGTGATTGCTGAATTGTTACGTGGACGATACCTGTTAGGTCCACAAGCTGTAAAGGGTGATATCACAAAACCGAAACGAGCTCGTATAGATGCTAAACTAAAATTCAAAGTGCTGAGAGCTAAAGGATTGTGTGCTAAAGAGGGGAAAGCTAGAGATGCATTTTGTTGCATCGAGGTTGGAACCATTCCGTTTCCAGACCCAAACCCCTACAAGAAGGTCAAGGACAAGGACAAGGTACGTTACTGTCCTGAATGCGTGAAGAGATTTTGTGCTCTTGATGCTTCCTCATTCGTGGATATTCTTGGCGTTTGTGGGTTTTTTCCCGCTAATGTTATACAAATAATCATAGGAAATGTTCTTGACTGAAGCCGTAGAAGGCTCAAACAATCCTGAATGGAACGAGCACATGATAGTACAAGCCAGATCCATCACAGACAAGGTGCTACTCTCAGTGTGGGATAAGAAGAAGGACTACTTTTTAGGAATGGTTAGCATCCCTGTATACGATCTAGTCCAAGCCTCTCAACGAGACAAGGGCGTAGTAGGTCGCAGATATACTCTCGGCCCACGTCCAGGTCGAAAAGACAAGTACGTTGGTGGTGACATTTTCATAGAGGCCATGATCACCGACGCTGAACCGGAAGATATCGAATCTCCATCCTCACGAAACCCAACCGAATTCCTCACACAACAAATATATAACTGCCACGTCAATCTCCGTGTAATGTACAAAACCTTATTACGAGCATGTCTAGTCCTTGATGTTAATACTATGGGTAACGAAGTGACGGAAACCACCACTGAACTGCTAGGAGAAGAATCTAAAGCACTGTTAAAAGTGTTTGGGAGAATGTGGAATATTGGTGATGCATTTATGGTTATTGCTAATTTGGAAATGCTCTTCATCATGTACAAGGAATTCCAACTTCCGACTGGTTCCCTGTTGACTGCTTATGAAGTCTTGTATGATGCCATGAAGTACAACAGGAATTGGTTGTCACGGCATGAGGTATGTTGCTGAGTTGATGGAATAGCCACTCGTGGTTGCTCCATCGCCATTTTATTTTGGCCTCGAATATGAATGCAAATGCTCACACGCAATGTCAAATTTGTAGAAACCCATGCTGGTGGAACTATTAGATGACATGCATCTTTATTACAAACAGCAAGTCAGCAATTACAAGGACCATTTCCCCAAAAACACGCCCAGAAGAGCATTAGAAACAACCATTTTAATGCTTCGGATGATTCACAAGAATACGACATTCCGTGAATCTCATCCAGACCTCCCAGAATCCTTCCGTGAAGAATTACGGAAGATTATGATGGAGGCTTCCATAGCTCGATTCCAGAAGCATCGACAACTCAGTTTGCCATTGAGTGATGATGACTCTGAAGCAGTTATTGGTGGTATATCTCAGTTGGCTGATATGCTGGTCGATGACATTGAGGTGGATGTCAAGCACTTTACGAAGCCCTTTGAGAAGTAAGCACCGAGCATTGTCGGTCCATGTGATTTGAGATTTTTTTGCTCAAAGGTGTGATTGAATAAATTGTGATCTAACCAAAAATTTGTCATTATAGGGAGGTGGACATTGCCATGTTAACAGCAGACAGCTTCCTCAAATACTTTGTCATTGAGTTGGAGAACAATTCTGAAACCTTTGCCAGTGACGAATCTGTGGAGTACAGTAAATCCATGTTTGAATTGTACAAGAAGGTCAAGAACATGGAGAAGCAGCTCAATAAGATGTTACCATCGTAAGTGGCATTGAAGAACCAGTCGCAGGACATCGATGTTGTTCGCGCAACGCTTTTTTGCATGGTGCTAAACTTTGGTTCCTACCCCAAATAGGATCAAGGCCGACTTGAATGTAGAACGATGGTTCGCTCCATTCGTCATGAAATGGCTAGAGCATTTATCAGAACGTACAGCAATATGGGTCAATAATGCTATTGCTGCTGATCGGTTTGAACCAGTAACTGATGGTCACCTCAACCAAGACGGTGATCCGCCACTATATTCATCATCCATTACTGATCTCTTCACCGCTGTGTATTCCGAATTGGAATTCTTGGTCGAACTAGGCTGGTCTAATGCCGTCCAGAATGCCAGTTTCTTCCAACGATTCGCACAAACTGTAAATCGAGCCATTGAGCAATATTGTGATGCTATGGGTACTGGTGAAATCAAAGAAAAAGATGGCGGTGGTAGTTCAGCAAGTGGTGCTGGTGCTATAGCTAGTTTAACTGCTAGAGAGTTATTAGCACCACTCATGTCACAATCGAAGCAAATTCGAGAAGTCACTGTACAATCTTGTGTCAAGTTATCTAATATCGAGTATGCTGATACCAAGTTGGAGCAAATGTATTCAGATATGAATGTAGCTACCTTAACGAAAACCCAAAGGAATTATCGGCAGTCTATGGCACCTGCTGCTAGAAGAGGGCAAGAGAGATATACCTCTAGGATGACATCTGGTATTTCCTCCGTCTTGTCGTCGTCGTCAACAGAAGATGCCGTATCCGGTACATTTAAAATCCAACTAGCCTTTGGTGAGAACTTGAAACCATCCTCGGCTCGTACAGGTCTCGCATCCCCATATATAGCTATAAAAGTACCTGATGGCACTGTCAAATCCCCTGATTCGGCCATAGTTGATCAACCTGTATCAGCACTTGTAAAGGTCAGCCCGATAAAGAAGGCTGGTATAGTAGATCCATCCCAATCCATAGTATTACGAGGTCGAGATTGTGAATTGGCGAGATCTCGATATGTAGCCGATACCGTAAACCCAGCATGGGATGAAGCCTTCCAAGTCATGCTACCTCCTGTAACCCGACTTGAAATAATAGCCTATTCACGAAACTTGATGATGTCTGATGAAGAATTAGGACGTGCTAGTATAAATTTAAGTGCTACGTCTGCTTTGAAGGCTGCTTTATTGGATCATATGACGCATGATGTTTGGGTTGAATTGGAGCCACAGGGTCGTGTATTGTTGAGATTGACATTGGAAGCTGAGGAAGAAGATGTCGAGTTTTGGTTCAGACGGTCGAAAGAGAGAATGGGGAGAACCAAGAACGATTTTGTGAGAGCGCTTTGCTCAAGGGTGAGTTGAACATGTTGAGAACGACAAGGGATTCTTTTTCTGCTAGTTTTGCTCACACTTATCCCCTTTAGATTGCACCTGTAGCTAAAGACATTATATCAAAGGCGTTGAAAGCTCATGAAGCTGCTCCGCTACCACCAAACACGAATCTGTCTCGTCTAGCACAAATGACGGGAATGGCTGCAACCCAATACACCGATAAAACAGTCAGTGGAGCATCTATAGACGTCAAAGTCCCACCACATGAAGCCGAACAAGCTATATCCCCCTTAACCGACTATCTAAATAAAAACTTGGAGACATTAGCCGTGAATCTATCAACCAAAATGGCTCAAGATGTAATTATGGCTACATGGCATGAAGCTCTCAACGTAATCGACAGTGTCATGATTCCACCATTATATGGAGCTATAGAACGAGATCGACGCTTCTTAAACAAGCGTCAATTATCGGTTGCTGAGACGTGTCTCCGAGTATTAAGAGACTTCTTCCATGCTGATGGAGAAGGACTAGGACTACCCATTCGAGTATTAGAGACCACGAGATATATACAGGTGCAGACGCTTATACAAGTGTATATGAATGACTCGGCACGTATCAAGCGGGAGTATGAGTTGAGTCTCCTCAAGGGCCAAGAAAAGATGTATCTTTTGAGGCTCATGAGAGTGCGGGTTGAATGTGATGGATGGGAGAAGAAGACTGAAGATAAGATTTGGTTTGAGACTCAGTTGAGTAAACGGAAGGAGAGGAAGGGATAGTTAAACATACACCTTTTGATATTTTTGATGCTTTTTTTCTTGATTTTTTACTATATTTTGATACAGCGAAAGAATATATAAAGGCAATCCTCATTTTGAAAAAATTCATTGGATTTTGTGTGTTGAGTGTGTTATGTGAGTGTATGTGTGCGTGCAAAGAAAGGAGAGTACAATATCATCATGGGCCATGTTCAGTCCAACCCAAGCGACGCCCTGACATTCCTCCTCACTATACGTTCATACTCTTTACGATCTTCACGCCACATCTTGGCTGCGTCTAGATTTGCAGCACTTTCGTCGTTTGGTTCTAAGTTTTCCAAAATGTCAGTAAACCACCAATTCGTTGGATGCTGGGATGCGAAACTTGCCAGCAACCATTGAAACCACAGACAGCAGTATCTTTTCAACAGACTGTATAGGCGACCATCGTTCTGATGCTGATTCGTAATGAGTGGGATCGTCACCTGGTGCGTGCAGTATAGATATGCACACTGTTCCGTCCTTGTATACTATGTGAGAGAGGTGGAGTGAGCAAAAAAGCGAGTCGTCAGTAAATGTGTGCGACGGTACGATCTTGCACACTTCAACACACCATTTGGATGAAATATCGGACATGTAAACTTCATCACCGGCGGAGACAATGGATAATCTCTTGGGAATGTCAATGTGGCAGTCAGTACACCACCTTCGAATGGTGTCTCATCGGGACCGGCGATGAGAGCCTCCCAGATGAAGAAATCGTCTTCGGAAACAGGGCCAGCTGTTATTCCATCTGGTGAATTCACTGTCAATTCTGAATTTGATGGAAATGGTCGAGGTACAGGTTAGCTTTTGAAGTTGGTAGAATGTTGTATGCTGAATGGACGTGCAGATGGGGACTAGCAGAGCGAGCTTACCCTTGTATTCCTTCATAAGGCGCTTTAGAGCTGTAGCAGCCGAGGCACCCTGTCTACTCATGACTGTGAAAAAAGTTGGTCGAGCTGTAAAATGGTTTGTGTGAGATTGTAGACTTTGAAGTCAAGAGCCAAATGTAAATGTAAACATTAATTTTCTCCTGTTCGTTATAGATTTAACGTGCGAATGTAGCCGGACAACCTTCTCAGTTCAAGCATTCACGAAATTGTCCAAAATTCACCAGAAAAGCGTGATTTACTTCTCAACTAGGCAATTCACGAGGTGCCGAGCAATAAAGATCGTTACATCTGAAGTATATTCGCGTATCAGAGGTGTCTTACATTACTACAATTTCAATTTAGTCTCGAGTCTTGTCAACTTACTCGACTCATTCATTGCCAGGCCGACATTCAGGAAATCACTCAAAGACGTAGAGGGAACGTGCTTCAAAGAGAAATGTGCGGCGAGAACACCCAGAACACTTCTTCGAGGTGCTATTGGACTTATCATTCAATGGCACTCATCATCAAATTCCTAAGTTTGGTCGGAGGATCCTGTGGTCTGCTGTTGTAGAAGCAATGCTGCTGACGATCTTTCGTATGATGGAGCGGATAACGTCTGCCCAAAGTGGACCATACCTGGCTGGTTACCCCCGTCCTCTTCCATCGAACATCAGCAGGCGATGGTATAGACGTGTTTGCAATTTGCCATAAGAGGACCAAAGATTTGGATTGATTCTCGCAGTCCCGGTAACGTAACTAGTTCTAAAGAGTCTGAACTCCTTATCTTGTCGGTCACTCTTAGAAATGTGTTGCGGTCGGCCATATATGTCGTTAAATATCAAAGAAATAAAGTGCACTCATATAATGACTAGATCAGGGCTGCAATCGCTATAATGTACATATAAACTCATAAATCTCGCTAATATAGTAGTAGTTTGTATCCCGAATTGTCTATACTTCCTCTTTGCGTTTATCACACGGACCTTTGAATTGCTCGCTTTCAGCACCATTTGAGCGGTTCCTGCCTTAGTTTTACGATTTTAATAGCTTGTAACTCTGCAACTCTGCCATGTTCTGGCCATTCAGGTACAATTACAACTTTTAGCGAACGAAGGCACCATCATCTTGAACTTGCACCAACATCGAATCCGTATTGCCTCCTACTAAATTTGTGCTTGTTTACTTACTTCAATCAAATAGATTGGTATAGATCTAGCATCCGCCACAGTTGCTGCGATTCATCGTGACTTCTTGGTGACATGCTCTCCCATATCGATTTGGACTTGCCTCATTCAGGATTACAAACCGCTAGGGCATGCTCTCAGAATCCAGTGTCTGGAACGATAGTGGTGTTTGGATTAATGGTACGTCACCACTCTGTGCTGTTAACAATCTTGGAATTTACAACAACTAGAGGAGGGAATTCTGAAGTTTCATGTGCTACTCATGAGCGAAAGTGACATCTTCCTATGGGATGAATGCTTTTGCCAGTGGTCACAAAAACTATGGACATTGTTTGAGTTTACCTTTTTATTTCAACATATCACAACATTCAACAGATACAACTACTTTCCTCTCACTCAAACACGAACGAAATCCTCACAAAACAAGCAGGCCTTCCCAATATAGACCCATGTCAAGAAACACAGTGGTCTCATATTTTACAGTCGAGCTCTTTGACTTTCCGTAAGATCTGCTAGATATGTCACATCCATATCTTTCGAGAATCCATTTTCAGCAACCCATTTCTCCAAGATTTCAGTGTATGCTATGATTCCTCTGAAATGTATTTAGATTGGAGTTAGCTTTTTGAGCTTCGAAAACGATGCCAACGCAAAGAGAGAGCGTGTGCCTTACCCGTTCAGAGGCGAATTCTTGACATTCATCTCGCTAGCATTTCCCTCTAACAGATTTGGGTTATATATGAGTCAATGTGCTTTGATAGAGTCACACATGCAAATCCAAGTTTCACAAACCCAAGTTGTAGTACTAAGAAAGGAAAGGAGGTCAGCTTCATGTTTTGGGAGGAAAGTCATAAATAGCCGGTGCTACTTACACCAGGAGTACATAAACGGAAGTAATCCTTATTCAACGGTGACGTCCTGACAACAAGATCCGTCCAAGCTTCTTCAGCTTCTGCTTTTGGTTCCACGGAAGCGACACCTCGCTTCTTACACTCTTTAATCACTTCCACAATCCACGTGGTCTGAATAATTTCATTACATGAAAGAGTCAGTCAACACGAATCTGGTTTCGCTCAATAATAGACGCATACTTGACGATCATTGACTTCAGGGAAGTTAATACCCAATCCAGCTTGAGAAGCTTGCATTACAAAATAATTTGGGAAGCCTCTGACACCAACAGCCATGAGAGTACACATGCCGTCCTTCCATTTCTCATCGAGAGTGGCACCGTTACGGCCTATAGGACGCACACCGACGTCTGCTACTCGATAGAATGCAGAGCCAAGCTGGTGATTGAAGACGTTATCTTGGTTAGTACATGAAAAGCACGATAAAAGACAAAGGGTGCAGTACCTCAAATCCAGTAGCCCAAATGATACAATCGACTTGAATCTCTTGGCCATTTACAAGAATACCGTTTTCGGTAATGCCGTCAATTCCTGCACCCTGAGTATCAACCAAAGTTACGTTTGGTCTGTTGAAGGTTTGCAAGTACTCATCTAAAAGAAAACGGCAATGAGAAACGGCGAAATCCAGAACCAAATTCGTTCGAAGTTTTGACATACCAGAGAATGTTGGCCTCTTGCACCACTGGTCATAGTATGGCTTCAGCGACTCTGCTACTTTCGGGTCATGAACAACTTGGTCTACTCTAGCCCTGATCCTCTCCATTTGCTTAAAGTCACCCAACTGAATCAATTCTGGTAGAGGGTATTTGTCTTTTCGTGGATCGTTTGACGTAAACATGGCCAAAAGTCTTGCAAAGTACTACGCATGAGACAACAAGGCGATCAATCCTAGTTGGACCGTTGCGAAATTGGGCATAAACTTACTCTGGTAAATCCATCATTTGTTAAGTTCACTTCAGCAGGCATTCCACTTGTAACGGTATTAAAATTATCTTTACGTTCCTTTGCCCAGCCTTTCTTAAGATTCTTGGCCCATTCTGGATCCGTTTGGACGTTGAGACGGGTATCGACACTACTGGGGGTTCGCTGGATGACGTACAGTTGACCACAGTCTTGGCCAAGATATGGTACACACTAGATTTAAAGATTTAGTTTGAGTGACTTCTGGTGCATATTTCAACAGAGTTGTGGTTGCAAGGGAATAACATACTTGGATGGCAGTAGCACCAGTACCGATGATGGCAACCTTCTTGTCGCGCAGATTGTGCAAGTTGCCATAATCGTCACCGCCCGTATACTTGTAGTCCCATCGAGACTAGTTCAGTGAAGAAAGTGTTATGATAAATGGCATAAAACTCTTCATTCGGACCAATGCTCGGCATTTCCAAACTTTGCTCAATGAACTGTTCAGAATTACGAACCGTATGGAATGTGCTATTGAAAAGTTGAAAAGAGTGGTTAAAACAGTCCGTAATGAGACGATTGACAACGGAGCCACACGACCTGTGTGTGCTACACTTACTGGCCCTTGAACTTTTCAATTCCAGCACCATTAGGCAACTTTGGTTTCGTTAACAAACCGGCACAATTGATTACGAATCGAGCCTTCAAAAGATCGCCTCTGCTAGTCTTTATATGCCACCTTTGCGATGGTTCATCCCAAGTCAACTCGGTCATTTTCGTTTGCCAGAGTGCCCTCTCATTCAAATTCCATTTTTCGGCGATACGGTTGCAATGTCTGCGAATTTCTGGGCTTTTGGTGTATCGTTCGACGGGCACGTAGCCCGTTTCTTCGAGCAAAATCAAGTAGACGTATGCCTCCGTATCACAGGCTGGCGTTTGGAAAGAGTTGGCACTTGATCATCATTAAAACAGAGGGTCTCGAGCACATAAATCATTTTACCTGCACCAGGATACCTATTCCACCACCAGGTTCCTCCGAAACCAGCAGCAGTGTCGAGTATACGGAAATCCGTTATTCCAGCATCTAAAGTGTGGAGAGACGATTTAACTCAGCCTTTGTAACAGCGAAAGCGACGTCCCACTTACTTGTAAGCTTCACACCGGCATACATTCCACCGAAACCTGATCCCAAGATGGCAACCTCCAACTCGGTGGTTATAGGAGCTCGTTCCTAAACGTGACATTTAAAAGTGACTGCATTAGCTTGCTTGCCACGAACATCAACTCAAATTCCAATTACCAAAGGCGTAGCATTAGGATCATCAATGAAATGTCTGAATTTCGGATTATCTTCGATAACAGTGTATTGCTATTTACAGATGTAACGTGTTTTTGGTTACGTAGAGTTCCCAAATGATGGATACTGGCGACCGATTTCAAGCATAAAGAGGGTTACCTGTTGTCCTTTACCAACATGGTTGGCATTCAATCTCTTGTCTCGTTCGAAATCATACTTTTTTCGTAGCTCGACTGGATCGAATTTCGAGAAATCGAATAGGTCTTCGGTCTGGTCGATTTGGTACGGATTGGCCATTACTGTTGAGCAAGAACCAGATGAGATAAAGCGCTTCTAGATGTCTATACCGAGATAATCTATTCAATAGCCTTGCAATTGATGATTGTGAGCTTGCTACCAAAGGGTAACACACACCGTGTGTTTTCAAACACAAGGATAAACAGTTCACCAAGAAATGAGAGTTTGTCCAAGATCCAACAGGAGATAGAGTAGCAGCGATGCGACCAGTACTCGTTGAAGTTGCCGAGTGCTCAGAGAGATCCGCTCGCAGAAACATCTCTGAAGAAAAAACCTCTAGCTCATCAAATTGCCGCAATCAGGTTAAACGAGTTAGTCCCGTGACAAACTTGTTGTGAAAAGCTTTCCTCATCTTATGATGGTACCTGAAGAATCCTCATGTGCCCTCTTGAAATCTTCCAAAACCGGTTTACATTGTCCCCCGCCCTTTGCGATCCTCTGCTCGAAACTTTCTCTGTAGAGGGAACGAAGAGGGAACGAAGTACTGACTGACACAGAGGCCGCTAAATATTCGGAAACGAGGCTATAGCGTCAAATTAATTTGTTTATGTGGTGCGAAAGAAGAAAGGCCTTAAAATGACAAACTATATACAAACTACATAGAAAAACAAATGTCCTATACATGTTCTCACCCAAAAGCAAGAACTATGTACTTGATGTTGGCGAACCTAAAGCGACAAAGACAGCACCTTTTGGCCTGGCGACTGTTATTTTGGCACCCGCCGGGGGCACCACCGTGAATCCAAAAGGATTTGGCAGTGCAGTATTACCCCGTGAGAACACAGTCATAAATCCACCAATTTCACCATCAAAGCAGTTGTTCAATCCAAATTCTCCTGTTCCTGAGTCCGTCTGGACCGAAATGTACACTGTGCGACAAAAACGTGTGAGTTTGTAGCCCACCGCAGAAGGAGAAACCGACGAAGTGACGTACACTCTTTGCTGAAAAGGCGATTAATCAGCTCCGTCCACGACACAGTTCCAGTAGGGAAGACGGTAGAGATTGTGCTGGGAGTTTCGGTTCCTTTGTGTGATGATGAAGGTGTCAAATCACACAATGGATCAATATGAAACAAAGAATGACAATCCAAAAGTCACACCATTGTTTGTAACGTAAGGTTGTGGATCATTGCCACCAGGAATGTCCAGAAGACGGAAATTGTCGTAGCCCTTGACACAGATACAGTAGAAAGTTAATCAACTAGCCAGTGTCACACCGTGAAGGTTAAGGGCAACACAGAGTCGCTTAGTTCGACCCAGTGCCCCTCTCTGCAAGATTGCTTACCCAGCCACCATCCTCGCCAAAGCTAGTCCCAGCCGTAGAAGTATTCTTTACTGTCTTTGCATAGCAGCGTACCATATATTTCATTCCTTTGTTTGTGCAATTTGGTCAGTCAATTCAGGTGGCAACAACACAACAGTCGAACAGGTTACTTGCCTGTAGCAACATAATTCCATGTAAAACTCTGTTGCTGTGCATCTAAAAGGAGCCAGGCTTCTCCAATTCCTTGACTCACGTTCTGATAGCAGATATCAGTCGCACAATCGTCCTATGCAAACGAGCATGAGACCCATTGTTGTAAAAAACAAATGAACTGTGACGATCTTACACCAGCATATCCGGGACATCGATTAGTACCAGAATTGAGCCCGGCTCTAAACAATGTCGTCTGTGGTCCTGATGACGCAGGAGCACCACCACCTGATGGTGGCAATGCTGATGGTGTGGCGGCTGCAACTGACGGGACAGCACTACTTGGTGACGATACATGAATTGTAGGAGCAGCGGTAGCATTTGCATTAATGAGCGATGGTTGTTGAGAGTTGTTGTTGATGTTTATGACTTTGGTTATTCCTAGTGGCACTACTATAATTATAGCCAATATGAATGCGATTGCCGGGAGCACATAGATCCATTCCGATGAGAACGATGGCTTCTTGAAGGGCTTCCCTTTCTCTTTGTCCATTTCTATCCAATGCAGACTTGTCTGTTGCGTTTGGATGTTTGGAATTGTTGGTGTGTGTCACAAATCAGCACACAGGCACACAGCACAGCGCGGCCTTCGAGAAAGGATCTACCAGTTCGAGGTGACGTGACCATGACCATGATCATTATGGCACGTCGTAACTCTCAGAGAAGGAGTCCAACGCCGAAAAGACGAAGAAAGACGTCGCTCTTCATCTTTCCCAAATCGGGCAACACAGAGCCATTCGTAACAACGAGAGGGCGAACTCCTATTAGATCCAATGACTTGTAAACGGTAAATCAAACAGGTCTTGCCACATAGCCTGTTCAAAGCTTCAAACTCACAACATATCCAGATTCTAGGAAAAGCGTGAGTTTCTTCTCGGCAAGGCAGCAGTTGACGACGGGGGAAGTAGTAGATCTCTTTATATCTAATGTACACACGCCTATTAGTGTTCTTTTACATTACTACAGTTACATATTTAGTCTCGAGTCTTCTCAACTTAACTCGACCATACATTCCCAACATTCAGATCAATAAGGAACTCACTCACGACATAGAGGGAACGTGCTTCAAATAGCGGGATAACTACCGAAACACAAGAAAGGGGCGCGTCTCGGATTCATGTGACTGGATAGCTGGCTCTGGTTGCTCGTCGACTGGGTCCATCATCCAATTCTTTCGTCAATTTGGGAATTTGGTAGAAAAGTTGTGATCTCCTTGCAAGAAGCGCGGCTGCTGGTAGACTTTGAAAATGATGGTGTGGCACATCTGCCCATTCGGTCGTAATCTCATTCTTTACTTCCATCCTCTGTCATCGTACATTTAGGCAGATGTATGGTACTTTCGACAAGTTTGCAATTTGCTATAAGAGGACCAAGGATTGGATCGAGTCTCGCAGGCCCCATAATGTAAATAGTTCTAAAGGGTCTGAACTCCTTATCTTTTCGGTCACTTCTTAGATATGGGTTGCGGTCAGCCATAATGTACTCACGTTATTAGTAGATCAGAGGGAACTTGCTTCAAATAAGGAGAATGATATAAACACGGACTGCGGTTGAGTGAAGCCCTCTTTTGCCACTGGAGGAGGGCTTTTCGTTAAAATTCAATTCGCCCCACAATCCAAGTTTTCGAATTTGGTGGACGTGGCTTCCTGATGACCCAATGCTGCTGATGATCTTTGGTATGATGGAGCGGACGGTTACCGTCTGCACAAAGTGGAACATACCATAGCTGGCCTCCCCCGAACATCAGCAGGCAAATGGTTTGACAAGTGTGCAACTTCATAAGAAAACCGAGATTGGGAAGACATGCTCCGTAGTAGGTTTAAAAAGCTTGGACTCGAATCTCGTCGTTATTTATTAGAAACGGGTTGCGTCGGCCATATAGATCTGAGGCTATAGAAACAACATAAACCACCGCCATACCGCCATGTAATTATGTAATACGCACGATCCAATGCCTATATTTATTCTGATGTCATCATACATATAGTCAACTTTGCATATAGTTTCATATCGCATCATAAAAGGTCGGTGTTTTAACATTGCTGTTGACTGACATCAATCTGCAATCTGTAAGTTCGCCCGTTTGTCCGTCTCTGCTACTATTTCAACGATAACTCAATAGTTCTACGCTTGAAATATTTAGAAATGGGTGATCGTTTGCGTCTTGATCATGTTCTGGCCATCATTCAGGTGTGTTTTGTTTTGTACGCTTAGCGAACAAAGGCACGAGCACAGTTGAAGACTTTACCAACAGACTTACGAATTTATACCTTTCATTTGACTAAATTCCATGCTTCTTCACTTCTCGACACCAACAGAGTGGAACGGGCTTAACCTTTGCAACATTTGCAACAATTCATCTTGGTGGTCACTTACTCTCCCACATCGATTTCGACTTGTCGAATTCAGTATTGCATGCTGTTAGACCATACTATCAGAATGCGGTAGTCGAACCGATAGTTGTCTTTGGATCAGTGATAATTCACGCTGTTGTATCTGTTACACGATGGTATCTAAGGAGAGGCCGAACGTCGGGTGCAGCAAAGGAGAATTCTACAGTGCCGTACGCTGTTAGTGAGCGTAAGTGGCACCGGAATATGGGATGGGTGCTTCTGCCACTGGTATGTTACAACGCGAATCGTATTTCCTGACCTTGCCACGCCAAATCCAAACCCTCGAAGCTCACGTATTCTCTCAATCTACAGTTCTGTATCCACTCGAATGCTACAAGGATTGGACTTTTAAAGGGGTACGCGCTGGACAAAATGCCCAATTTTGATTTGTATCAGGCATCTCTTCCGGCGCATCTGTTCCCAATGTTCTTCACTCGTAAGTACTGGGTTTCGCCCTCTTGCCAGTACTACGTCCGTAAAGAAATTAGTAAAACTTCACTTTGAAACATACTTAATCAGCATACTACAGTCTCTTGACGGGAGGTCTGCTGATCCACATGGCGTACGGAATCGGTTATGCAATGCAAACATTCGGTGTCAAGATGCCTACAATCCAGGACAAAGACAAACGTACAATCTGGTATTATGCTCTCGCTGCTATAGGTAACTTTTTTTTTGGGTCAAGTTGGTATTTTACCAACCAAATTTAACATCAAGCTTTCGTTTATCAAAACAGGTATTTCCACCACACTCGCCGTATCTGGATACTACTACAATGTCCGGTTTACTCCAGAACATATCAAAATAGCTTCCGGAATCGCTGCTGATCTGCATCCGGACCAGTTGTTTGTAAAGAATGCTATTGCCAAGATGTTTGGATCTCAGTATGTTACGAACTGGAAGTGATTATTGGAAGTAAAACATCTTATGCTTGCTTTTGTGTGTCCTCCAAATATCTCATATACCTCTAACATCAATAATACCGCTCCGTAACACTAACAGTTTCCAAGCGTGTATGGCTGCTGTAAGTGTGTTCAGCATCGAGGCAACGCTTTGTTTTCTGTGGCTTGTAACTTTTGCTACCGCAGTCCGACATACATCCTTCACCCAAGAAATGAGTAGGAAAGAATCCACTGATGGATCGTGTATAAGACTCTCGCAAGTTTCAATCTTCATATTCAGGTTAGGATCAGAGAAACTTCGTAAATTGTGTTCTTTCCTAGTTGGTCGATTTGAGGTTATTTGTGGCGTGAAAGGCTCCTGGGTGCCTGCTGGAGAATTGGTAGACGAGAGAGAATATAAATTCAGGTTGCTCTTGCCTTGTGGCTGCCACACACACTTAAATTGTTTGCATTTCCTTCAACGACGCACATAGAGCTGCCGACCTGCTTAACCTCTCGAACATAGGATCTGATATGGGAACCCATTTGACAAGATGAGTGGCCAAGATTCCATTGGTCCACTAACAAGGTGACTTAGCAAACAAAGCGTCAATGAGTGGTGGAAATCTGGGGAAGTTTACATAAGGCAATAATACTCTCAATCAAGGTCTCTACTCCTTGGATTTCCTGAAACACTTGATACAAAGGTTGTGCCCATCCTGGTAGCTTGTTCGGATCCGATAAAGCTTGCAACGCCGTGTTCGACCAATCCGCCACGGCTGACAGGCTTAACGTCGAATCACTGGTGTGGCTCACTATAACACGTTGGAAGTCTTGCTCCACCACAACTACATCGGATGCAGCCTTCCCATCTTTCGTGGCAGTAGAGGAGTCCTCAGAGCGACGTGTTTCAGCGGTAATGGTAGGTCTCGAGGATGCATCCAACTTGGTTGCCTTGGCTATTCAAGTACCTCTGGTCAGTCTTACTGCAGCAAATTGCTTTGACAAGGTAGTGCATTGCCATGGTTGAATGTGATTTCAACGGATCTGCAGTGGCTCAAGCTCCAACATCGCCAATGCTTGTTGGGAGACGATGCAATAACAACTCGTTCTCTTGTAAGAAATAGACGTGATATCCCTTCAAGTCAATCCAATACTCTGTGATGTGGTCTGACCTTCAGATCTGGAGGAGATCTAAAGTTACGTGACAGTTCTGTGCTTTTAAAAAGATTCGCGAGTTTCGGACATGAAGTGAAGAAGTGAACTAGCGAACCACTTTTCGAATAATTTAAAATTGAAAAGTTGAATCTGAAACTAAAAATCGCGCCCCAGTCCTGTCCAGCCAAGTATCCAGATCTACAGTGACATTGTCTAACTTTCCCGCCCACCATCCAACATTTCTTTCTGACCAGCCTTTCCGATATAGAGAAGCAAACCAGACCAAATATGGCGTCTCCAAGTGCAACCAGTGTCCCCATTGGTTGCAGCAACGCTGAAAATGAACCAGTTGCGGACGATGGTAAGATTTCTTGTGTATTGCTTTTGCGAATAGTTCTAGCTTGATTCGGACAGCTAATGGATAGATCCGTAGCCAATAATGAAGCGTTAGAACTAAATGCATCGCCTGCGTCTACTTTAGCCCCATTTACAACTCCTCATAACCACCAAGACCATACCAACATTGAAAGGGGCCCCTGCTGCTGCATTTGTTTTGAAGATCTGAAAGCGCGAGGGTCGGTATCTGTATGTGGTGACCATCGCCATAAGTATTGGTACGTGTGTGCCTCTTGATTGTCTTCTTATGAACTGATTTGAGTGTGTTTGCTTTTGGCGCCAACCTAAATTACCTTGATCATGAACTGCCTGACTACATGTATTTGACTTTCTAGCAAGGACTGTCAACAAAGGGGTGAAGCCGTGAATCCATGCTTCGGAGACAAGTGCCCCGTCTGTAGACGTCCAAAACTTGATGCTGATAACGACAACAACACTCAAACGGGTGTCCATGACGAACTCATCTACAACGATCAGGCTGTCCGAAACTCTCCATCAGCTTCTGGCAGCCAGGAGGTTGCCGAATCTGGTAGCGTCAGCTGGAATGGCGAGGTTGAGTTTCGTCAATATGCTGAGCTCTATGAATATCGTGTCAAACCAAGACATGGCGGTAGCGGTGACGATCTCCGCTTTCCTAGTCTAATTTCTTATGTAAGTTGGTTTGAAATACGAGGTCGTGGAGGTTTCATACACTGTCTTTCTTAGAACCATCCTGCTTCTCCCATCTAGGGTGTCACTCAACCTAGAAAACGACTCAACCGCCATGGACAGAATAATGCTCAAGATTAATATCTTTAGCATCACTGAAGCATATAAATAGTCCAACGTTTTGATTAGATCAACCTCAGCAGTAGTACGACAGTGTAGAATAGAACTTTCCCTGTATAGGATACGTATCCTATACAGTCCAACAGTAATTAGCCATACCATGTAAGAAAGACATTGAAATAGACTTCAACTTAGTGTAATATTACTCTTTAGCATCACTGCATCACTGAAGCATACAAATAGTCCAACGTTTTGATGAGACCAACCTCGGCAGTACTACTCCAGTATAGAACAGAATGTTCCCTTACATTTGTATTCTATGCAGGTCAGCCGTTCAACCTACCACTAATATCTCTCCTCTTTTCCCGCTGTTTGGAATAGACGTGGATCGGTGTGAATGGATATAGATAATTTGATGAAACGAGATGAATTTTATTAAAGAAGACAGAACTACGCCAAAGCTGCATTGATGTTGTTGGAACAGAAAGCAATACACAAGGAGTTTCATGATCTTCTTCTGGAATGCCACTGGTACGGTGCTCCGTTCTGCCTAGTAACATGGGCTTGACGATACTTGTATCCACTATGTTAAACTCCGGCTGTATTTTGAAGCTACTTTCCACCAAAATGTGTCTTGAAAGGACATACGTCAAACCCAATTTCGCATTATACTGTGCTAAAAGGCCTGCATCATCAATATTAAAAACAGGGTCAAAGCTCGATGAGGGAGCAATCTCTACTCGTTCTTCCCCCCAAGTTGTAAACTTGATCTCGTAAAACTTGATCTCGGATGGAAGTATGATTCAACATGGCTTCAACAACTGACTGACTCCTTGAAGCGTGTTGTTGACAACGCCCCAACGTTGTTCAGCTTGGTGAGATCAGGTTCTGCTTTTGAGCTACCCCACAACCACAAAACAAAACCAATCTCACCTACAGAAATATAATTCCAAGCAAGGCGCCCAGAGAAACACTTCTTCCTTTCAAAAAACGGCGATAGGACCGAACGAAAAGATGCACACAGAAAAGCCACAAATCTTGTGAGGAATTCTTTACTCTATATTCGACCACATAGTTTTTATACAGGACACTCATATCCAAGAAAATTTAAAAAGATGACAATTCTCTAACTTTTTCAGCATCACTAATCAGTCAACTAACTTAAACTAACACGCTACTTCCAACTGACTTGTGTTTGCAAACCAGCTCTTGCAGTAATAACTTCATATACACCAACATCATGAATCTTGCCCTTGAGTTTCTTCTTGCCCAAAAAGCGAGACTCGACACGGTTTTTGACAGACTCGTATGTAGACTCGGCAATCAATACTTGGTTTTCACCAGCCATGGAACATATACGTGATGATGTATTTACAGAGTCTCCAATTACGGTATACTCGAGACGTGATGAGCAGCCTATGAAGCCTGCTAGACACGAACCTAAGATTATGTTGTGATCGGTCAGCACAAAAACCACAGTCAACGGAAAGTAATGATTAGGTTGGTTACCAGTATTGACGCCAACACCTATAACAATAGGCTGCTTATTTTGACGTTTCCTTTCCATGTTGAGCTCTGCGATTTGACGACGAAAGTCCAAGGCTGCACAGACTGCACGGAATTCAGCGTCTGTTTCTCCTTGTAGGGTACCAAATGCTACAGTAGCAAAAACTTGATAAGCAACTCATTCATTGAATTGCTTCTGAAGACGAATACGTACTAGCCATCAAAGCATCACCAATATACTTGTCGACGACTGTATTGAAGCGGTGTGAGTCCATCAGTATTTCGCAGAACGAAGTCAAGTTCATAGTTACTACCTCCGTCATAGTTGAAAACGACCTTGACGAGCTAATAGTTGGAAACAGCTAGTTCATCAGGACCATTCGTGAAGGACGGCAATAAACGGTGATGCATACTTACTCTCTCAAAGTACTCGTTCAACAACTCCACCACATCAGCAGCAGGTGACTTTTCACTCATATTCGTAAATCCACGTATATCAACAAACACAATAGTACCCATAGTCTCACGACCACCGCCACGTCGAATAGCATGTATTCCATCCTTTTCAGTCATTTTTAGTACAACATGAGGCGACAAGAAGCGACTCAAGTTTTCAGTCAGGCGGGCCTTGTTTTGGACTTCTTTGACTAGGATACCGTTTTCGATAGCTACTGCAGTCTGATTGCAGATGGCTTTTACAAGTGACAAGTCCTTGTTGTTGAAGTAATTGATTTTGTCGATTGCGTCCAAGTGTAGTATGCCATGAATCTGAAAGAGCGATGGATGCGTGAGAGTGTGTGTGTGTGACGGAAGATTAGTGAGCAAGGAGACTATGAGCGCAAAAACTCGAAACCAAAACTATACCTTATTGTGAGCAATCAAAGGCATACAAATCACACTTCGAATAGAGCCTTGTCTGACTGATGCACTTCGTTCTAGATTTGGATCTCGTGTTGCGTCACTTGTAATCAGTGCAATTCTACAACCACAGATGTGAGAATTATCCAAGGCAAAAAAACAATCCCTGACTATAGTAACATTCAACATACCGAGACTGAAGCACCTTCTTGAGAATGGTAGAACTGAGCATGATCTCTCGAACATCAGGATCAGATCCAGGCCTCAATTTGACAAGATGAGTAGCCAAGATTCCAGTAGCTCGATCCACCAACAAGATGACCTAAAGCAAAAAAATAAAATCTTCGGAGTTTGTAATATCACACAATCGCTTAAAACTTACACCACGATCAACCATCAAAATCTGGAAAATAAGCTCCAAAGAACGCTCCAGCAATTCAGTAATATCCTCAGTAACAGATACCTTACTCAACTCGTACGTCAACCTCAATTTCTCATAATCTTCAGCCAGCATGGCTGCATCATCAATGTTAGCAGCAGGAGCAAAGTCCAATGAAGAAGAAGTCTCCATTTGAACTTCCTCCCGTATCATAAACTTGTTTTCGTAAAACTTGTTATCGGACGGTAATATGGTCACGAGCTCGGCCAAGCTCTGACTCTTTAATGGGTGTTGTTGACGACGCCCCACAGTTGCTCGACTTAGTGAGTCGAATGCGAAAAGGGGGAGATCAGGTTCTGGTTTATGAGCTGCTCGCTCGGGGATGTCGTAGAATGTGAGGACGCACATTCCAATGTTGATGACATCTCCGTGGACGAGCAGTGTTGGTTTGGTTGGGTCTAGTAAGGTTCCATTTACTCGAACACCGTTTGAAGAGTTACGATCTCGTATAAAAAAGCTGTTGGATTATTTGTTATTTGGTAAGATATGGGCGAAAAAATAACCAAACAGTTTGTCGATGAGATTTGACTTACGCAATATCTGTTTTCTTGATAGAGGCATGATATTTTGAGATCTTGGCATCCGATAAGACAATTCTGCATTTTGGTGATAGGTGCAAGATGTAAGCAAGCGAGAAAGAAACCCCCGGAAACGAAAGGATACTAAACAGCCTCTCACGTATTGTCTTCCTTCCTGCCAATAGTAGATTCATCCTTTTGCAAATAAAAATTCACACGAGATCCATGAGAAGTATAGTAAACAACTCTAGCAGGTTGTTTGACGCTATATGATTCACCACGCAGCAAGCCATCTACACCCGATCTACGTTCAGCAGTATTAAGCACAATACGTGGCGTTCCTTCATGCATCATTGGTTCTTGTTCAAGCATGAAATCAGTATCTAGCATGGATGATTCTGTATTGCGACGACCATTCAGCAATCCAATTGTAGTATTGCTAGAAGTGTAGTTACCACTAGACACGAGATACCCATGTTGATCGTATTCGTTTTCAGTGGCGTCAGATGGTCGTCTGTCATCAGCATCATGAGGAGATAGTGACGGAGCGTATGCAAGGCCATCGGTATCAGCGGATGGACGACGATGACCACCATAGTTGCGAGGCAGAGCACGACTAGATGCATCTATGACAGAGCCTGCTCCTATGGTGCTGAAACTACTAGCACTCATATGAGTGCCGTTAGTATTACTTGGATGATTTATAAACGATGGTCGTAATGAACCAGGAAGACGTGTTGTAGCCCACTCAGGATCTCGTGAAGAATCATTTGGGAATGATGTATTGATCATCATTTGGTTTGAATTGCCGCCACTGCCATTACTATAATAGGTGTTCTTGCTTGGTGGCCCAGTGTCACCCTCTCGTCGATTTGATGACGATGATGCGAGACGAGTGAGTTCCGAGTCGTTATATACAGGATAGTTCAGGAGGAGATCAGCAGCCATTCCACCGAACTCATCATTTATAGTTGGTAGAGGACTATGAGCTTCGTCGCCATAAGATGGTCGTCTTTGATGAGGAGTTGTGCTGGGACTTGGAAGTAATGGTTGACCAGCGAGGCTAGTAGACCTTCCTCTGCCTGACATGTAGATTAATATGACTTACTGTTGGATATGTATGTATGCATTCACTCCTTGCTTGCTGTCTGTAGCTTGATTAGGCAAATTTTGAAAATGTTTGGAGCTGCAACCAGTTGTTTCATTGATAATTTGACGGACTAGCACTTGGATGATGAAATCACGTTCGTTGCATTTATCGGATGTGGATTTTAGTATTCTTCAACGCGTTCCTGATCAAAGTGAGGGATACAACAATATGTAGGCGATTGCGGCGGTCAGACAGCATGAATGTGCGGAAGCTCTGGCAAATGATAACATTGTTGTTCTAGGCCGAGTTGATACAAAACATATATGACTTCATAAACCAAACACGTCCGTAAACAATCACATCGCCCCATTGCTCGTCACTAGATTTAAAATTTCTTAAAACTCCCTCACTCCTCACTCCAGGAAACCAGACACATACACATCATTCAAACGATTCGAAGCATCAAACGCATTTTTTTCAACTTTCATGACAATCATTGTAAAACCTCACGCTATTGGTGTCTGCTGAAACTTTCAGAGTCTGGATTAGATTGTGTTTTTGATCTAGTTTCAAGGTTTTGAGCGGTAGTCTTCCAGTAAGCCCATAATTCCAAAACTGAAACGTAATTCCAATACCTTCATGTTTGGCTCGACAAGCAGCTCCATTTTGCGTCGCAACGACTTGCAAAAGGAAGAACGTCGCTGGAAAGAGAAAAGAGGTACTAAATCTGGCAAGGTACAAACAGCCATGGTCAATTGAGATTAGTTCCGCCGTTCTTTACCTCGACTGGCCGACATCTTTCGTTCGGTCAGTTAGCAAACAACCTCCAAATCGACTTCCACAGCCATGTCACTTCCGCACGGGACAGTCAACATTTGAATATGTCACACAAATCAGCCATAGCAGGATCCATGGCCAGCCAGTGCTGCATCGCTAAGTGCTCGTGAATGATCCGCATCAACTCTGAACATTCAGGTTTGCAAGTCGATATGTAAGCTATATGTATGTGGATAAAGATATGTTGATTAAGAAGTATAGACTATAGAGATAGGGTATTATTATGCTGGGAGAGCAGCGAAGCTTGGTCCACGGGTCAAGACGGCGAACAGGAGACCAGCAGCTACGGATGCAACTGGGAGTGTAAGAGCCCATGAGAGACCAATCCAACCAAACATCTTCCAGTTGATAGCCTACATTAATACAAGTCAGGTTTACATTCATTGAGAAAAACACATCACCCTTAAATACCTTCAATGAACCGTTACATAAACCGACACCGATGGTGGCTCCAACAATACATTGGGATGTTGATACTGGGAGGGCCAAGAAGGAAGCAGTGATGACGGTTAAAGCAGCTCCTAATTCCATGGCAAAGCCTCTGGATGGAGAGTGGTAGGTCATGTTGTTTCCCAAGTTACGCATAATGTTGTATCCGTCTATAAATGAAAGCCATTTAGCAAGGTGACTAATGGAAGCGAAGTGAAGCTGGATACATACATAAAGCCAATCCAATGTCGATGGAGATACCACCGAATGCCAACATCCAAGTTGGGACTGGAGCGTTTGAGCCAGAGGCGTTCAAGAGACCAGTAGACCAGATAGCGTAGACGCCGGCAAATGGTCCAATACTGTTTTCATAGGTGAAAAGTTAGATTGATATCAACTAGCAAACGACAGGAAAACCATAACAAACCTGTTGGCAACATCGTTAGAACCGTGAGAGAATGATGCAAAGGCAGCAGTCAACACTTGTAAGAAAGAGAACAAATATTCGGTCTTGTTGTCGTATAATACAGCAATATCGTGCAAGTTCTTGGCACTTTCGTATTGGATTCCAACAATGTCCATTCTGAATCCTTTGGTAGCGAAAGCCCAGAGTTTGGCTGGGATGCTGATGAGAGCTCCCAAAGCAGATGTGTCCTTTGGTACTACTGGAGTAGCAACAACAGCTTCAGTAGCAGCTACGGTACCCTTCTCGTCAGTCTTTTCACCAGCAGCAGCATCTAGCTCTTGTTGGTGGAGAACGTGAGGAGTCATGGTCTTCTTCAAGTACAAGTCCAAGTTTTCATCCTTTGGCTGAGTTGGTACGAGCCAGATGTAGAAGATGTGGTACCATTTGAGGTTTTCTTCCTTTTCGAGTTTACGGATAAAGTATGGGACTGCCAAGAAGACACAGAAGGCAGCAATGGCAGCGGTCATGGCTCCAATGATGGTGAAGGCTTTGGCCAAGTCTCCCTTCAAGGTGACTGGTGCTCCGACGTTGTTTCCAGTGACTGCAATAGACCAATCACCACGACCGTTCTAGTTTCAAAAAACGAAACCAATGAGCTCAACATCTTTCAATCTAAACAATTGGATGTGCAGGTTTACCTTCATGACAACGAAGAAGGATACAATGAATCCAGTCAAAGTGAAGTATATTGGGATGGCGTAAATTCCTCTTCGGAGAGAGTTGGTTCCAGAGAAGACAAAGAATCGGGTGAGAGAGTAGATTGAACCGGCAAGGAAGGCAGCCAAACCTGTTCATTTTAGATATCAGTCAAACGATTGTAACGAAAAAAAAGGGAAACACGTCGATACTTACATGGGGCCAAAACCCAACCAGTAACGATGTATGCGACACCACGACCATTCCAAGCCCAGTTGACAGCATCGAAACCTCCAGCACTGACACCAATTCCGATCAAAGCACACACGATAGAGTGGGTGGTAGAAGGGTGCATTCCGATGTAAATACAGCACATAATCCTAGAATGTATGGATTAGCATGTGCTTGCGTATACTCAAGAAGGGTCTGAAGCTAAAAATGGTTTTACCAGGTGGAAGATGCAATCAAGGCACACATGAATCCAGCCATCAACAGATCTTGACGAGCGTTGAACATGGAGACATTGATGATTCCATCTTTGATGGTGGCAGTGTTTGAGGCTCCCAATAGTATGGCACCACCGAATTCGGTGAAGATGGCAATGGCAACTGCTTGCCAGTACTTGAGAGAACGAGATCCAACAGATGTAGCGACTTGATGACAAAAGAAAAAAGAAACATCGTTAATCCAGTGTATAGTGGAAGGATTTAGGCAAGCTGAAACGATGCTCATTCACACTGTAGCCCAAGATGCGGCATCTGGAACCATCAAACTTACAAGAGTTGGCAACATCGTTAGCACCGATGGAGTAAGCATCCAAGAAGGCAAATATGACTGTGACTGCAAAAATCCATGTGAAGGAGTTGATGGGCAAAGGAATGACGGCCATCTTGCCACTGTTTCAACTTATAAAATACGTTCTTTTCGTGCTGGATGCGAATTGTAGAGTAAGAAGACCTAAATATAAAAGAGTCTTTCTACTATGAACCCTTTATTGAAAACGTTTCCCCAGGCTCTGCCGGGCTCTGCTCCAAAATACGAAATGCATTTCCCTTCGTTTTTTTTTTCTTTGCTCTTTTCACCACGTTTTGCACGGCTTGTCCAGTGCACGTTTTCGACTGCACTGCATAGTACGAGTCAAGATCTTTCAAGAATAGCTACTTTTCACGTCACTTGTCAAGGCTTTCTATTCGTAGAACGAGCTCGCTTGTTGCCCTTCGCCCTTCGCAACCATACCTGTCGCCTCCTTGACAACCTTGGGGTGTTTCCCTGGCGACCTGAAGGGAAACGTTTTGCGGCTTTGAAAAGCATTTTCTGGCACAGCACGATCATGTTTTTTGATGAGACGAAAATTTGCTGGAACGTTTCTTTCTTGCTCCATGGCTCCATGCGATCTATGCACGTTTTCGAGAACTAGTTACGTCAACGGGTTGGCTAAGCGGGAGAATGGAATTCAACGACTTTGATAAATTTTGTCATTTCAATAAGATGTTCAGACGCCGCATTCTAATTGTGATAAGTCTCGTCCATTGCTTTCACCCACCGCCATATTAGTATACTAGTGCGTTTCGTTCCGTGATGCTAGACTCTGACTTGATGAATAATAGCATATCACGTATCATTCATTTGTAAAAGGCGTTAATGAATACGATTTGTTCTACTAGAGTACTCGTTTTCGATGGAATCTACCCTTGTTTGACTTGTCACGACCAAAACTTGATTCATGACTGAAGAATCCAGACCAAACACAAGAAAAGGCAGCGAGATTTGTAAGAGCCATTTTATCTCATCTACAAAGCAACCAGCGCAAGGAAAGATCACGTTGAAAGTCCTCGTGAAACACCTTTATAGTTTCTTTCTCACCCTCGTCTCATTTCCAACACCGCGATCAACTCTCAATAAACAACAACACATACAATTCAACCCTCATATGATATTCAAAACAATAGTCAGCCTATCATCCATGACAATCATAGAAGCCAAGTCCCAGATCATGGTCCTCGCTGAAACCTTAGGAGATGGTAGCTGGTTTTGAAACGTGGTTTTCACAGTTTTGTGGCCCGTACGCTTCAAACAAACACATAATCTAACGCTCACATATACTTTTTCATATATCCAGAATTCAGCCTAATCCCAGTCTCCATCCGCGAACGCCTCGCAAACACATCTCACGAAGCTCATTGTCGGCTCCTCACTTCACTCGTTGGCGAACAACGCTGGTGGCAGGCAAATGAGGCGAGAAAATCACCACAACTGCTGTTTCTGATCGCTCCAAACTTGTCTGCATGGAAGGGTAGGAGTAAACTCCAATTCAGAAACACGTTGGAAGGCTTCGAGGCCAAGCCAATCGTGCCGAGTTTGTCAGTTACCACGGACTTGCATGTGGCGGAGAATGATGTGTGGATGTATGCGTTTGATGATTTTGCGAGGTTTGCCAAATGGTATGTGAGTTGTAACAGTTCCTTTTTTCGTCAACGATTGTTCACTCTCGCCTTGTTTTTCTTTTGTCAGGGAAAACTCTCTTCCAATGTGCTACAGATCTCTCTCAGGACGTCCCGATGCAGCTGAATCGTGCCTCATCATCCCCGCAACTGGATCAAAGAACGAACACCAAGTAGTGCCTGCTGAATACGTCTTCAATCGACCACCATCAGCTTCTTCATTATTGAGCTACAAAACGAACGAAGATTATAATCAGGTTATTCAGCAAGCAGCTGAAAAGTCTGTTTTGGATGCTCTGTAAAGGCGTGAGGATATTGGTGTGTGAGGCTATATAATAGGAGTCGCTGGTTGCTGTAAAGAGAACGTTGTAAAGCTAAATACTGTAAAATTGCTCACATTTACGTATATATCTCATTATGTATTTCATATTTATTATCTCTCTCTTCGTTCTACAGCACACGATTATTCTTTACACAACAGCTACCAATTGATCCTTCTCAGCATCCTTCTCATCCAACAGGTGCGACTTGCTATGGTGCCATGCAGGAGTGCCCACAGTAATAAACTCGACGTCTTCGTCCGTGATGACCGGCAAGGGGAAGAGTTTACATAAGACGACATACACAATAGCCGACACTCCAAAGCCCGTGAAGAATGATAGTTGGTATATGTGGGTGGCGGCTTCTGGGACAGAGTATCCGACAGCTCCGACAAATCCTAATTTAAATTGTCTGTTTAGCAAATTATCCAGTAGATTGACAAGTTTCTCTTCCTTCTACAACAAATTACCAGGCAAATTGATAATAATCCCAGCTATATACGCAGCATATGCTCGTAAATTCCATCCGTAGAAGTAAGTGTATTTGCCAGCCTTGTCGAGCGTGTACAAGTCATCGATTTTGATCTTCTTGTCGGCGATAATGTAGTAGTGGGATATCATGACTCCCGCAATAGATGACAAGAAGACGCTGTATGCTTTTGTTTGATACTGTGGCGTCAATAAAGAGTCATGACGACATGCGAGGACAAGATGTTATACCTGACAAGTAAGATGTAAAGGCGTTCGAGTCTGAGAGTAAGTTCCATGGACACTGACCAAAAACAGGAAGGTTACAACCGTGTTTACCAAACACTTAATGAGCTTCGAGTCTGCGCTCACCATCACAAAACCAACCAAAGCAGCAATATATCCACCCCTTCGAATAGTAATGAAACGAGGGAACAATGAGGTCAAATCACAACCAGCCGAAATCGAGTTCGCTGCAACGTTCTGAAAAAAAAGCAGCACGTCAAGGCAATGTTTTGAACCTTTTTTCAACGAGCACGTGCAGGTATTACTTACAACACCAAGCTGAGCAACAATAAACCCAAACGTAATACACACAACACCGAAACGTGTTCCGGATGTGTAATTGTCGTCCAAGAGCAGGTTGAGTAAATCGAGTGGGCTCCATACGTATTGTCCGAATATCACTGATGATGAGGATGATACTACGATTCCCTGTGAGTATAAAATAGAAATGATCAGAAAGCAAGTATTATCACAGCATGTACCACTTTGTTGCATCAAAGCACTCACCAAGAAAGAGGTCAGCGCAAAAGCAGTGGGCATAGCAATCAGCTGTGGCCAAACGACATTCCAGGGTTGATTGGCTCGTGATGCAAAGTCCACAGCGTCTATCAAAGAATATTGGATTTCAGTTTTTTTTTCGCTCGTTGCGTCAGGAAGGAAAAGCTTACTCGTAATAAGCGTAGCCATATTTGAGATGGCAGACATTGTAGAAGCAACAAAACTCCAAGCCAATATCGAGCCCGTTGCAGTTGATGGCTGACTGAAAATCGGACCTGGGCCACCGGATCTCACCATCGTCCATATGAATAGTGCGATTCCTGCAGCGGGAGCTTTGGACAAAAAAAATGCGGTGATCAACAAGTGTCACGCTGCGAACGAAGCGAAAGTGATAACATACCAACAACAGCCTTCAATGTAAACAAGTGTCGAATCCTGTGCAATGGAAACCATAATGGCACCAACGAGATCAACGAAAATAAGAAAAAGGACAGGAAATGTGCTGTGTCTGTTCCACTGCCTTGTATCGAGTTCGGGATATTTCCATACGTAGAGAATATAGCTCGTAGAAACGTGTAGACACATTCACCGCCAATCCAAGCTTGGACGCCGTACCAAACACATGCCATAGCTGCACGATTGAATACCGGCCTACCGTGCTCAAAAATGCAAGTTAGTGTAGGAGCTAGATAGTGCAGGTTAAGTCACAAGAGCTTACCAAAGGGCACCAACAACCCCAAACGACGCTCTAATATACGCCGGAAAGATAATATGATAACGACTGCCAGGAATTGCATTGAGCACCAAGAATCCAGCTGCAATTGCGTATCCTAGCCACACGGCGATCCATGCCTGCCACCATGACATTCCCAGACCAATCATGGATGATGCGATCATGAATGTGTTGATGTTGAAGGCGTCTGCAATCCAGAATGTTACATAGTTCCATGCTATAGATAAAATCGGAGTGAGCGTTGGGAGGAGTGCATGTCCAGTGCATGTCCAGATAAGAGATGTCGTACCTCGCCATGTGCGCTTCTCTTCAGGGACTGGCAGGAGATCTTCGTTGAAGAGGAATAGATCCTATCATCACACAGTAGATGTGAGTCGTTATCGATGTCTCAGCGACGTAATCGACACGTTCTGATAAGCGTGGTCATGATCGGCACCACAACATCGTGTATCAACAATACCTTGTTGGTAACACCTACACCAGCAGGACGAGTTAGATCACGAAGATTGAAGTTCACAACAGATAAGCAAAAGCAGATATCACGACAAATTGCATGAGTTTTAACAAAGTAGTTTCAAGTTGCTTGAAAGTGATGCTTACCAGGAGGATGCTCAACCTCAATGAACTTGATGAATTTAGCAAAATACGACGACATCTCTCAAGGATTCTGGAAATATCTTGAAAGATTGGAATGTCTTTCGAGGGGAAAGGAGTGCAGCTGATAGATGCCAACGGCTTGTCACTTACATTCAATAAGCCAGGCCTCAAAAGCTTAAAAACCAGTTCTTGACGTCATGATCAAATGTTGATGTCACGATACCGCGGATAACGTCAAATCAAGTCTGGTTCATGATAGTATCTTTGGCTCGTGCTACTGATAAGATAATGACATGCGAGGTTCAAATCAGTAAGACACCTGTGATAAGTTAAACACAGATGCAGTATTTTCGCTGATACATACCTTACGATTCAACGATCACGATGAAGGAAATCCTCGTTATAAATCCTAATACGACTGTTAGCATGACGCGGGGGATCGAGCGGTTGGTTGGTTTCTCTTGTACATTGACCCATCAAGTGAGGTTTAAAATTACAAAGTAGAGGCATATACATAAACTGATCAACTGATCTAAAATAATAATTAGTAGATCTCATACTTTACAGCTCCAAGTGGTGTAAGCAGTATCAACAACGAAGACGATGCCAAAATATCAGCACTCCACTGCCTTCCACACCTGGAATCACTAATCGAGCAATACGACGCGTTCCTAATCGCTTGCTATTCGCGACACCCACTAGTCTCACTTTTGAAATCCAATCCACGCATCATTTCACAAAACAAGCTCGTAACCGGTATATTCGAAGCCAGTATATCGCATAGCCTGCAACTAGTATCGTCAAAAGAGAAGTTTGGAATCGTTTCAACGAGCAAAGTATACGAAGAACTGCTGTCTGATGCCGTACATGATTTTCTGGGATCAGATAGCTGTAAATGGTTTGGTGGAGTTGAGACTACTGGGTTGAATGCATCAGAGTTGGAGCATGCTCCTGATGTTCGAAGTAGGATGAAGGAGACTACGAAACGGTTGGTGAGGAGAGGCGATATTGGGGCTATTTGTTTGGGTTGTGCTGGTATGTGGTTGTCCACTGTATTGGGTAGCGCTCAACTCTCGATTCAACTAACCACACTGGATTCATTCAGGAATGGCTGACATGGATAATCTGGTGCGAGAAGCTTGTATAGAGGAGATGGGAGTAGATAAAGGCAGCCGTATATTTGTTGTTGATGGAATCATATCTGGTCTAGCCTTCCTTGACTCCACATTGTCCTTGAGAGCAAGGCCACAGCCTGCCTTTGCAGTATCGTCGTCTATATAGAATTTAGACCCATCCAGCATTCCTTGCTTTTTGTTAGTCTCCTTCACAAACACTTCGTTTCAGTGAGTAATCATCTCTCGTATATATGTATGATACAAAACAAAGTGTAGTGCTTTCTACTTCAAATATCGATCCACAAGTTCCTGTTTCTTCCTTCTCAGAATCCAATCCTCCACATCCTTTTGTGTCGGAACGGATGATGCATGCGAAACAAGTGCTGGTTCTTCTTGTTCGTCTTCGGTGATGGTCTCCTCTTCTGTATTTTCGACATCTGCATTATTTGAAGTATCTCTCAATCGCACTATGCCAGACGAATGTAAGTTATTCGAGAAAGCACAAAAGGTGAACGAGCATTCCATTCCAGACGTACTTCTTTTTTGCACCTTCTTTTCATACTCTAGCAAAACACCATCATCTTCATCACGATATCCATAGTAATCTGCATCAATGTACTTGTATAGGTCTTGCCGTGTGCGTTTGGCATCATCTTGTGCTATAATCAAACGTGGGTGTGTTTGAGGGTTGGGATGATAGTATAAATGGACGATCTTGACATTCTTACGATCTTCTGCAAAGAGCTCTCGCACTCCTGGTAAATCCTTAGCTCGTCCAAAGTATCTAGATGAGTGGGAATGGGCGAGGTGAGCATATAATCATTTGAATCTTTGCTTTGTTGTTGTGGTTTAGTACTTACTTGTAACCACGATTTCCAGGAACCTCCTTTCCATCTGAATCAAATACACGTCCACCATGCCGCTAATAAATACATTAAGAATTGAGCACCCTGGTTGATAGTGTATGGCATAGTCAATCCAACAAACGTACCCTATAATTTGGCCCTCCCAACTCGACGATGCGATTCTCCCATCTGTTCTTTTCTCTCAGCAGCTTGTTGATTTCATCATTCAGATCTCGTATCTGGAAGTCATTCAATCCGGCTACATGTGAAGGTTAATGAGCTCGTTGTCAGTTGTTACAACAAACCAAGACCAATAACTACGTACGATCCTGTATTTTGGAGACCTTTTTTGATATTTCACGGAGGACCTCCGATCTCCAGGTGCCGCATTCAGCGAGGGTGGCGACTTCGGATATCAAGTAAGGACGTTTTGCATTCTTTTTATAACCTCCCAATTCATCGGCTTGTGCTTCTCGAAACCGAAAGAGCATAGACTGTGCCTTTTCTCTATCATTTTATGAGTGTCAGATATGAATTAATGTATGTAGTATCGACACTTTGTAGGGCTTCTTACTGATTTCGAGCCTGGTCGACATTTTGGAATTGACATTGAGGAGCAAGTGAAGGTTGTTAGTGAAAGAACGAACGAATGAATGGACTAGAATGATGAGTGTTTACCATGATGTGCTACTTGATAATGTTTTTTGCTTGTCTGAGTGCTTGTTTGTAAGGAGGCTAGTGTTTTGCAATGTTGCGAAGGAATGAAGAGGTGAAGAAATAGCTAGATAGTTATAGCGGCTTTCAGATGCGCGACGCGAAAGCTCTAGATCTTCATCCCTCGGCTGCTATAGGGACTTTTACTTGTTACTTCACGTTCCAAGACTTGTAATTCCCCTCCTGGATGCTTCGAAACTCAACAGGTGATATGATATGAAGTACCAGTATTAGGCAGGAATATTACTCTGCGCATTATTTTTCACGTCCTACTCTATTCCCATAGTATAGGATCACCCTGTGTGTGTCTGCTCGATAGTGCTCGATACCCAATTTCGCTCATCCTTCGTTCAAACAAATTAGCCAAGCTGTATCGAGTGCCAAGGACCCTCAGGCAGGGTACATCGCATACACTACTATACAGGTATGAGTATTCCCGTCTGCCTCTCTCTGGGACGCTTCCGTCAATCAACACTTTGCGGCATCCCTCACTTTGCAACATTGCTCATCTATCTCGTCCACTACATCCATAGTAGACACACGTACTGCTTGCATCTGCTATCGGCAGTCGTACTAGCTAATGGCTCTCCGCTACCTGCTATGTATTCACTGCTTCGCCTTCTTACTTCAACATCAACATCAAACATTTGCAACGTTTTCAAAACGCTAGCTCACCACCTCATATGCTCCACTGACACTCCTCCCAGTCTCATTAAGTCCGTGATACGGTGGCAAAGGTCCCATCGTCAGGCTGCTACAGCCCATGATGTTCACCACGCCAAAGGGCAAGTTGGACTTTTGGTCTCCACTCCAAGTACTCGCTACACGGCCGACCACAACCAACATCATGAGCAAAGTGATTGGCATACTTTGATCCATTCCACAAGGTGTATGTGGGTGCTACGGCCTAAACACAATCGACGTGCCCCATCATCGCTGTCTGACGGTAACAGCAGAAAATCATGGGCCAGGAGCATGAGTTGTCCCCATCATGCCTACATCTCAGTACCTTCTTGCCAAGCGTTGATTTAGTCGTCCAATAATTATTGGAAAGGCTCCTTCTTGCGAGAGGAAGTGGCTCCACTGTATATAGTGGTGGTTCAGTGCAAGACGTTGGTGAACCAGTGAAACAGTCTGGCAAACCGCTATAGTCAATAAGTTGCCTATGACGTCGTTGTTTTTAGATTTGAGGGTTTTGGTTTCCTAGACGCATTCGCGGGATTTTGATTTCAATTAGACGCTACAATAAAGAGCGAATGCAATTTCAGTTGTTTTCGTGGGTCAGCGAGTGCCGATCCGTTATGGGTCACTTGGCTCGGTTGCTCTTGTACCAGCTTGGTGGAGGGTTTCTACTTTGTCAACAAGAACATCATCTTCGATTTTGAGTGTCAAAAGAAATATGTTTATATTTAGAGACTTCGAAAAGCACACAAGTTTTACAATAAAAAACGCCAAAAACGTCAAACTACTAATCAATCACGCCTTTGTGGTTGCAATCACTTCGTCCTCATGTTCAGATTCCGCCGAGATTATATCCCATTCAGATTTATCACTATCGTGAGATTCTTCAGATGATAGATTCCCTGTTTCTGGTTGACTGGCTTCATGAGATGGTGAAGCTACATTGGCTGTATCTATAGCAGCTACTACCGGTCGTGGAGACTCGGCAGTTTGGGCGATCTGTTCAACTACACTGTGAGTCTGTTCTACTTGTGGAGCAACTTCTACTGCTTCATGAGAAGCTTCAACTAGCTCATGAGAAGCATCCACGGTTTCACTTGGAGTTGGTGCTACTTCTACTGCTTCAATGGGAGCTGCTGCTACTGATTCACTTGAAGTTTGTGTTACCGCTTCATCAGAAGAAGCCTCTACTACTTCAACTGGTGCTATAATACTATCACCACTATCCTCATGTCCTATTTGCTCACTTTGGCTCATCAAAACAACACTCGCACCATCTCCAATACTAGATCCCGAAGTAGTCGAGTCCGTGAGTGACGACATGGCAACCTCACTGCGTGCATCCTCCTTATCGACATGCACTATACTAGATTCGATGCCTTGGTCATCGTCTGTTGCTACAGATGGAGCAGCAGTTATCGGTTGACTCATAGATGCAAAGAGATCCCTCAAGGAGTCCAATTCAACATCCATGACACGTATACGGTTTAATAGGATTTGGTTTTGTTGAGTCAAGTCTGCGACTATGAGGTCTGATTCGGCTGCTATGGGATTACTACTGTTACTGCCGCCAGCTTCTTCTGCCAGCCCTTCATGTCGTCCAACGAGTACGTGACTTTCAGTCATATGGTCACTCTGTGATTTCGACAAGGATGCTATAGAGGCCTCAAGAATATCATATTGCTGAGTCAGATCCGTGATTTCTGGCCCGGCTCGTTGTGGATCCGCGTGACTAGCAGCTAGACGAGTAGCATTCTCAGCAAAGCGTTCTAGTTCTGCATGAGCGGTTGCCACTGCTCGTTTCTCCTGTTCGATTTGTCGAGCTAGGTCAGCGACTTTGTCAAAGTTATCGCCCTGAGTTTGGTCGAGGACTTCGTTGACGAGGGATTGGACGCGGGTCAATTCGTCGAGGACGTTTTGACTCTCGCCGACCAATGCGGTTGAGTTTTGTGCGAGTTGCTGGTGTATGGCTTTAAGACTTTCGGATGGGCTGGTTTCAGAGAAAGATGGTGTCGTGGAGGCTACGTATATGAGGTATAGAGTCGCCCCGACCAGAGCTATATATTTGGCGTATGTTAGCTTAATGCAGCGCAACGAGCAATGAAATTTTTTCAACATAGCCTCTTACCAATTTCAACATAGGGATTCGACACAACAGCGGTAACAGCACTCAAAGTGGATGATAGAGCGGTAAAAGGAGCTTTGATCAAAGAAGTCAAGGTTCCAACAAGCTATTTGTTGTAGATGTAGAGTTAGGTCAAACCATCAGACACTAATACACAACAAATCAAACCTCACCGTGGCCGACTTTGTGGCAACCGCAACCTGTTCAGCGACACTGTCAGCAGCAGGAATTGCCGATGCCATAGTAGCTTGTTGCTGCACATCTTGAGCAACTTGAGCGACTGGAGCAACCGTACTAGCGATTTGCTGTACTATTGGTTCAACGACCTCTTCAATGACTGGAGTAGCAGCTACCTGCTTTACACTTTCAGCAAGTCCAGAATTTATGGATGGAATTGACGCAACTTTGCCCAAATCGGTCGAAGTAGCAGCATCTTTAGCAGCTTTTGCAGCACTAGCGACGATACTCTTGTGCTTTTCAATGACTTCTATAGGCACCGATACCGAATGAGTGGCTCCTACTTTGGGAGGTTCAAATACGGGAGCTAGTTGTTGAGTTTACAATATGGTGATTAATCATGTGTGTAAGAAGGAATGTGATGGAAAACCTTGCTTTTGATGTACTAGCAACAAGCAAACAATGTATATGTACATACCAGCAAATGGAAATATAGTAGCAGAGTGGATCTGCATTAGACGCATCAGAGTTCGGTGCCGTTCCATTGCTCTGGAAAATGCTAACTCTGCATGATGAATTTGAGGCCTGTAGCGACTATTCTGATAGACGATGTAGTATACCATATTGTATGGGATAACAGAGAGCTACGTATCGTGAGGATTCGTTATCAGTCTCGTTTGGACTCTTCTACGATTTTAAATTTTGGGTGTTTGGCGGTGTGTGTGAAGAATGCAGGAAAAGGAATGCACTAGAAGAGACCAGAGCGTCAATGTGAACGTAAAGTAGCTATGCAGAAATTATCAGCTCATCATCTCTACCGCATCGGCTTGGGAACTGAAAGCTTGCGCGAACGATTGCCATATCATCTTATCTTCAAACGTTTTCACCGTTTTGCACGTGTAGAGTAATAACATAACTTCTGTCCTGCAATTCAATATTTTTGTGTGTTTTATTGCAGTTTCGTTACGCTTGGGAATGTCTCGACGAGTTACCCATCTTGAGATATCACAAACCAGCAGCATCTTGGTATGAAGTCCTCACTCTTTGATAATGATACATGAATACATTTTGCAATAAGGTTTAGCTCATTTACGGCCTGCAAATACATGAAAAGTAATCCAGTTATTCTATAAAACGTCCAGCACTCACATCTTACACGTCACCTTCCATTCGTTTTTTTTACATACCTTTAGCAAGAGGGCATCATCAACTTTTCAAGAAGCTCGGCGACCACAGGCAGATTCCTTTGTTCTCGAGCCCAGTCTTTGGATACCAAATACCACAGACTTGACAATGTTGTCCCTATTCTTTGTATCGAGGATATATTTCAAGGCAGCCTTCTTGAGAGAGTAATCGTCCCTGACACACGAATCACTCAAACTCAAAATTGTCAATACAGATCCTGCCTTACGTACTATTCCCTCTACAATAGCCTGATAGAGCCCTTACAAGTCATAGTAGTCTGATTCGTTGAGCATCAGACTACTATAAGCTTGTTCGGGGCTTGATGGTATCCATTCAGAGGGTTATTTATCATAAATGAATGCCAACATGGCCTAGACACAAGCGGTCGAGTGGTGTATCTTTATGTTTGAATATCAATATCTGACAAGTCGACGTCGTTGTGTAGGTTGGCAAGCAATGGTTGGGAGACTTGCTTTTGTGTGGGTTTAACGTCAGTGTATCAAGCGACTTCAAATATCAAACAATCGTCTTTCAAGGATTTCCTGGCTGCATCCACAGAGGTGAATTCTAGCGAAAACGAATGATCAGTTTGAGCTAATGCCTGAGTGGGAATCCAAGCAAATACAGCCTCTGCCAGCCCAGTCAACCGAGTCTCGAAAGGGTAGTGTGCTGCAGGGTCAAACGTACATCATCCTTTGTTCTACTCTGATCCTTCATAGGGACTGCGAATTTGACGTCAATAGGGTCATCCATCTCGTTCTGTTCATGCAAGACTGATTGGTGAACTATGATGCGTTTGTATGTGTGAGTAATGTCACAAATCTAAATCCAACAAGGCCAGCAAAACGATGCGAACACGTACATGCCGAGATGCAGTTTGGTTCGGTATTTCCGTGAGGATAGAGTATGAGTCGTAGGGGGATGTTTGGGAATCCAAGTGTCGGAGACTACAAATTTACATGTGCAGAGTTGAGCAAAGCATTTTTCCCAAATGTCATGAATGTTGGTTGTGAAGACCCATATAGTAGAAAGTCGTAGACAGCTGAAGGAATTTTTCAATGGTCCATGTAAACGATGTAGTTTGCTTTGGCGATTCTAGAGCCCCAATAATCGACATTCTAAAAGAATTTAAAGACAAACAGAGTCTGAGCAAGAAGTTTTCAGACGACTCGAATGAAATAACATGGGACATACGTTTCCAGATGCTTATTGCAGAGTAATGAATGGCCTGCTATCCAGCTTTCGCGGAACGACCTCTATCTCCAGCTCTTGCTAACAATGCTGTTGATTGGAACAAAACGAATTACTACAATCTATGGAGCCGGAACATAGCAATATTATGGATCAACTTGAACTCACGTAAATCATCGTCTCAGATATACGAACTATCTCCAAGCTTCCATGTAAAAGATCCCTATTGCTTTTGAATCAAGCCAGTACCTCGGTAAGGGACTTGGTTCCCCATGTCGTTGTATTTCAGATGTCGATATATTATTTGCTCTAACAAGAGTAAGAATCGTTGAGTGAGGATATAAACGAATTTAAAGGTTTAAAAATGAAAGAATTCACCAACAACATTGGAATTGCCCTTGGCTAACAACATTCGACAACATTCGCAAACTTGAACAAAACCATTTCACGCTCAGAAAGGCAGCATAAAAGACCAACTTCAGCAAAAGCTGCTGGATAACATCATTCACAAAGTGTACTTACATAGGCTTTTAACTTTGGTAAGTTCCTAGTAGCCTTGTTTGAACTCACGAAAATCTAAGAACTCATCGAGTTTTCCTCATTCGTTGGAAGCGACGACAATGAGCGCAGGAGACCGTCAGGAACGAGGCATTAAGCTTATAGGAGACTATTTATTACAAGGTAGATATTTACGGACCACTTTTGGAGAAGAAACGCGAAGCTTCAGCCAACATTACATTATGAATTCTAACATTCGGCCAATTGTCATGTTGGGTTCTAACTGATGACAAGTTCAAATCAAATTGGCGAAATGGATTATGGATTCTAATATTCGGCCGATTATCAGGTTGGGTGCTAACTGATGACAAGTGCAAATCGAATTGGCAAAATGGATGTAGTATGCCATCTATGAGAGCTCGGGATGGTTCTCGCTACATATGTGTCGTAAGCTCAAATTTCGCTAAAAGCTCACAATCTCGCACCATTTCCGCTGTGTCTTCTTATGCTCTCTTTCCATTTAGCTCTGTGATGATCCCCGAAATCCTTGGCCACCAGCTGGCGCTATCCAACAAGCATCTGTGGATGCTCTCGTGAACATTCTACCAGCGGTGGATGCCATGACTGGCGTGAACGATGATAGCAGTATAGGCGATGAAGATTTGGGGCTGACTGAAACTGGAAACCTCATGAATGGACTACAATCAAACAATACTGTAGTAGAGGCGAATATGCCTACAGACGAAGAACGTCGATCCAGACGTGAGCAGGTCGACAGAGCCACTAGGCTTCTTGGGCAAAGACTCTTACAAGGGTGGACGATGCTTCAAGACGAGTGTCCTAATCCAGCTTGCCCAGGAGTACGTCCTCGTATTAGTTAACTAAAGTTCCTATTGGACTCATTCGTACATCCTTTTGTCACAGATTCCACTAGTACAAAACCGCCAAAGACATAAATATTGCGTCTTATGTGAACGCTCATACATCTCTGAGCAGGACTTGCCACCACCAGTTGTCCCCGTCCCCTTATCTTCCCCAGGCCATATCGCAATAGCAGCTGAAGCACCCAGTGTCAGCCCGATTCATAGGTCGATTACCGAAACAACTGAGAGAGCGGAACAAGATCATGGTAGAGTAATGACACATACGGAAGAACTACTCGGATCAGCTATTATGGGTGGATCTCCTGCAAGAGAGGAGCCAGAACGACGAAACACCGCACCATCGATAAATCGATCTGTCGCAGGAAGTGTAGCTGTAAGCACTGTCACAAATCCAACGCCATTTGCACCGCTTGGTGTTCCGATCGCTGTACCAGGTGGTGGTAGTAGTAGTCGACCTCGTCAACATCCCAATTTGACCGTATCATCGAATCTTGGAGCATCAATTGCTAGTGATGTTGGCTCAAAGGATAGGTTACTGTCGACATTGTGGTCCAAGTTGGAGGACGTGAGGATGTCTCTTGAACGCAGTACAAGTGGCAGTGAAATCAAGAGCCTATCTGAAACTATTGTGTCCTTGACACAGGCTATACACGCTAGCAATAGCTTGTAGCCTAGTTATGGTGGAAAGAATGAGGATTGCTTTGTATTATAGAATCTGCTCGCCACAAAATAAATCGAAGCTGTTTGATAAGGATTATAGACTGTTTGTGTTGTAGAATCTCCTCGCGACAAATATAGGATTTTAAGCTGCAATCAGACCTGAACGTGTCAAATAAGGAGCAGATCATCATTCGCGTCGAAACCTCGAAGTTTGAAGTGAGGCTGCTTGTGTCTCCGCGAATGATCAGTCACTAGCAGCTCTCAAAACCGCTATTCTCATTTTTGACAGCTTCATGAACAGGAAAGACAACTAAACTCTTGCACAAGCCGTCCAACCTCTTTATAGGCCATGGCTGCTACTAGTAACGGAACTCTGACTCCCCCTTCAAGTCCTAATCGTAACACAATGACTGATTCAAACTCTTACGCGGATGGAAGTGCTGCAAGCGAACGACAACCATTATTAGGCAGCTCTATACCTGTGGAAGATGAAGGCCTAGCAGCTGATGATACTGATATCGATTTAAAAGATGGGAAATTCTTCTCGCACATTGCAGTCGAAATGGGGTGGTTGGTAAAACTGGGTCTTCCAGTAACCTTTTCGTATCTTTTGAACCAGTCTCTTGGAATTGTTGGTGAGCCGTCTGTCATCAATTCCAAATCTAGAACCACCGTCTCATGCTTCTCATTGCAACTGATCAGGTTTTGTTATGTTGGGTCATTTGGGAACTCAGGAGATGGCAGCAGGTTCATTGTCTTTTGTATATTGTAATGTCACTGGCTACAGCTGGGGTGTTGTGAGTCAATGATCTAGTGGTTTGATGTGCGGTTTGAATGCATTAACTCACTTTCATCACAGGGTATGTCTACGGGACTAGATGCGCTGTGTCCGCAAGCTTTCACTGGAAGTGATGATCCTGTAGCAGTAGGCAAGCACCTACAACGTGGGCTCGTTCTCATGGCATTGCTGACAATACCTATTTCAGTTCTCTGGTGAGACCCATTACAGAATCCTTGTGGTTCTTTTTTTTCAGTCAGTTTAGCAAAACTTATTAAATTGACTTTGCCAAAGGTGCTTTACTGAACCAATATTACTCGCTCTTGGTCAAGATCCGGAATTGTGCAAACTTGCTGGCCAATTCACCTTAATCATGCTTCCTTCGATATTCCCATACTCTGCAAATGAATGCATCAGAAGGTTTCTTCTTTGTCAAGGCAAGCTTGGTCTTAGAGAATTAAACCAAGACTTTTCGAGTTTGAGCTCAAGATATTGCCTTCTTACTAGGCCTATCACGATCTCAATACATAATCTATGGAATCGCCTCACCGCTAAACCTTCTCCTTCAATGGCTACTTGTCTTCAAATTCAACTTTGGATTCATAGGATCTCCCATGGCAACATGTGCATCATACTCTCTCCTTGCAGTTTGGTCGATACTTTACATTGCATGTATAGAAGGATCAGGCTGTTGGGGTGGTTGGCAATGGAAGGAAGCTCTCAACTATAAGCTCTTGAAACAACAAGCGTATTATGGATTTGGTGGTCTCGTGCAGATAGTTTCTGAATGGTGGTGCTTTGAAGTTGTCGCTCTTGTTGCTGGTTTGTTTGGAGAGGTGTCTCTTGCTACACAGTCGATATTGATGAATACTGCAGGGTGAGATGCAATGGATTTGGTGCAGCCGCGGTTTTTTTGTGTGTCTGAGAAGTCTTCTTGGTTCATCGCTCACTTGCGATCACAATCACTCATTAATAGATTACTGTTTATGATTCCCATGGGACTCGGTGCAGGTACCATAGTGCGAGTTGGGAACTGTCTCGGTACAGGTGCGTCAACATTCCTTTTCGTTTTTTGGTGGAGTGGTACTCACTGTAAACATTTCGTTAGGCAAACAACCTGTTCGTTCCAAAATTGCTGCATATGCCTCGCTACTAGCCGCCGCATTCTTTGGATTCATGAATTGTACATTCTGCCTTGCGGTGAGGCATCAGTGGGCTTATGTTTTCAACAATGATGAGCAAGTTGCCTCGATGACGGCCTTGATTCTGCCATGTGTAGCAATCTTCCAAGTTAGTGATGGGTTGAATGCGATCTCTGTCTCCTTACTGAGAGCAATAGGTTTGTTGATTCAAAATTATGATTATCTAAGTTACATCAATTTACACATTCTGATCTCCTCTCTGCTGTTCATCAATCTAGGTAGGCCATTGATCTCGGCTTTTGCTAATGTCGTTGGGTATTACCTGATTGGTATTCCTGTGGGGATTGGATTCGCATTTGGTCTTGGATGGGGCTTGCTTGGAATGTGGATCGGTCTTGCTGTTGGGCTGATGAGTGTGTCACTATTTCTCGTGCCATTCATACTAATAGGTACAGATTATGAGAAACAGAGTAAGCTCGCTGTGGAAAGGATTGCAAGTCACAACGACGAGCCTGTAGCATAGATGGTAGCTCTTGTCGTTGCATTGTAGCATTGTGTGATGAATACATAGAGTACAGTAGATGGTCGCGTTTTTCTCGCGTAGGTCGACACCTGTGACGCGATCTGGTTACTATCGCATTTTAGCAATTCGTAGTTCCTTCCGGCTCGTATCACTGTCCCTGGTCACTGTCGTTTGTTTGCTGCTCAACTAACTCAACTGAAACTTTGATGACTTCAATCAGGCTTGTGGTTTTGAGTTGACGGAGTCCGCTGCTCGCTGAAGCCGGCCTAATGCTGTGTAAGCGAACTGTCCTTGTTTCCAATTACTTTGTCTTATTCGTTCCTTGCTCAGATGTCGTTTGTTTTTCCTGACACTTGACACTTTCGCCTAATGCAACAATAGAACTGAAAAGACGACGTCCCATCAATTGAAGCTTAGGCGCTTATGAAATATGTCGTATCCAGTGCCGCCTCAACTGAGTACACCGGCAGAGACTATATATCAAGTAAACGGAGAGAGATTTGCAAACTTATTTTTGTGATGTTGGCTTTTCAAACACCCCAACTCCTCGTTATTCGGATTAGAACTTGAAGAATCGTATAATCCCGGATTTGAAGGTTGATCATCTAAGGACCCTTCTCAGATACATTAATACCAAAACAACGGGCAACAAACCTGCACTACTTGAACGACTTCATGTCTATGTGGACACACATCGCTATAATCTCAACGTACTAGAAGGCATACGGAATGAAGCTTCAGGGCTCTTGAGACCCCCTCAAAGGTTTGTAAATTTTCAATTTATCGGTTTGAAGGGCAAAAGATCAATTGTTGACTTTGACTCCATTTTTTCTTTGGTTGCAAGGGCTCAAGCTCCTCCTCAACCAAGGTTTGTGACTTTGTATGCAATGCTGCGGAAGACAAAGAGTCGAATTGCTAACGCTGACTTTTTTTGTGACTGTAAGACCCAACGCTGGTGTTGCATTCGCACAAGGTGCAGGTCCGTCAAGACCGCAGCCCACTCATCCAGGAATGCATATGCCTGGATTCCAACTTCAACAAGCACAGCTTACACCAACATCTGCTACTATGTATCAGGCGTATAGATATCGTGTCTCTCCATTCTACGATCTGGTGGAACGTATCGGCCAGCCAAAGGTGCAAGATACACGAAGCCTGCAGAACCCGTTTCGTATTGATTTTGTCCTCAGTAACGAAATGGCCGAACGAATCAGACGGTCATTAGCTCAACCTACACCCGATTACGCCTTATATCTGTTTGTCGGTCCGTGTGATCTTCCACCTGCTTTTTTGCATATGGCAAATCAACCTTCTACAGCTTCAATCCCTATCGAGTATCCGCCAGATTCATCGGTTTATTGTAATGCAACATTAGTACCTGGCAAACATACTGGAATGAAGAAGAGGCTGAATACAGCTACTCCTGCTGATATTACTAGATTGGTGAACTTGGGGCAGACTGTTTATAACAAGGTTGAAATACGGTACAAGCCTGGAGAGAAGGTGCGTTCTTCTAGTCTTTCAAAAATGTGCGCATTTTGGGCCACTTCACTTATAAGTTTTCATTTTCTACTTGAAATCCCTCTTCTGGGTATCGTGACACTACTGGACTGAACCACACTTTTCATTGATGTCCTCTAGCGATACATTGCAATGGTCCAACTGGTCAGAAAGATCTCGCTAGAAGAGATTACCAAGAGAATTAGGGACAATCATTTTGCCACGAAAGAACAAGTCCTCGAATCAAGTATATTAACAGTCAAAATACTGCTTTTTTCACCGCTCGAGAATCTTTTGATAACTCTCAATCTTTTCTCCACCTATAGGACGTGTGGCACAAGGACACGAAGATGACGACGTTATTGCAACTGCAGACGTTGTCAATCTGAAGGATGCCGTGTCCAGATTTCGTATAAGAACTCCTATTCGATCATCCCTCTGCAAGCACGTTCAGTGCTTTGACTCTGACACCTTTTTCAGCATGAACGAGACACTTCCAACTTGGAATTGCCCAGTTTGTGCAAGGGTTTTGGTCCCAGATCAGCTTATATGTGATGGGTTCTTTCAAGATATTTTAGACAAGACCAATGCTGATGTTGAAAGTGTTGAAGTGCAGCCTGATGGAGTATGGGCTCTGAAGGCCGAAGTTGATAGAGGTCGTAGTAGTTCTTCTGATGTACCCACGAAACGTGAAGATCGAGCATTGGAAGCTATTATGCTTGACTCTGAATCTGACGATGAAGGGAATCCACCGCCTCCTCCCAATCGAAACACCAGTAGTGGAAGTCATGCGGGCAGCAGTGTAAATAGTAATAATCATAGCAGCAATGTACGACCATTTTCAATCTTTACTGGTGGTGGTAGTGCCTCAAACAGTGCTTCGGGTAGTCCAAATGGAAGACCAATTGTCAATGGAATCAATAACTTTAATATGATTCGAATGAGTGGAGCGAATGGAATGGTTATGCCACGGCCAATTATGAATGGGGTAAATGGAATGGTTGTTACTATGGCTCCTGGTAATTTCAGACCACAAATGCCAACACATTTGCCAGCATCGACTCCACCACGAGCAGTAGTACCAGCCAAACGTCCAGTAGAAGTTATTGATTTGACATTCAGTGACGATGACGACGATGAGGAGGATGATGATGAGAGTCCTGCCCCTCCACCATCTCGTATGTCAAATGTAATGTCAAATCCTATGCCAACTGCCGTGCCAACTACCGTGCCAACTACCATGGCAACTTCCATGTCAAATCCAAGTTTTCCAATAATACGTTTAGGTCCGCCTAGACCAGCGCCACCAGTCTCGGTTGATACTTTTATGGCCACTATGGCTGAATCTGCACGATTACCCGCTTTAGCATCACAACCTGACTATACACGAGTGCCTGCACTAAGACCCATGGCCCCGGTTGTAGTATCGAGTCTTCCTGCTGCTACAACACAACAGGTTCTCCCTCAACAATATCAACAGCAATCACAACCACAGCGACAGCAGCAGATTCCACAACATAAAACTTTGCTTCCGCAACAGTCAGAACAACAGCAAACACTACAACAGCAGATATCACAGCAGATAGCACATCAACAACCTGGATTCGGTGCTCTACGAAATCAATTCCCACTACCTGTCTCTTCAAATCTACCACCTTCAACAAACGCTACATCTCAACCACCCGTGAATAGTGTTGCTCCCGCCGTAACTTCATATAGTAATTCATCAACTCCGACAAGTAGTGGACGAGTAGTATCAGGCGTATCGCCAAACATCGCTGGTGTTTATTATCCAGGAGCACTAGATAGTCCAGTGCCACTTCAGAGACCTGCAAGCCAAGGCAACTTAAGCAGTCTAGGTCTGAGTAATTTGAGCCAAAACAGTATCAATATGCACAATGCCAATCAAAGTGATCAGATGAGCCCCACTCAGAATAAGCCAATAGATCTCAGTAACCCTGCAGGAGCTAAGTTTGGACAACTATCCACTCAGTCAGCTTCGGGTGATGCATCGCCTGCCTTGTCCTCTGGTGGAACCATTAAGGCCGTATCGCCAACATCCTCTGTAGGAGCAGCAACCTCGACCGCAGAACCAAGTCCGACATCAACTGGATTGAATGTGTCGCTTCAACAATTTAGTGCTCCAGTCAACATTGCTAGTACTATACCCGTGTCAAACATTACAACTTCTCTACCACAAACAGCAGCAGCACCGTTGAATAGTAATCTGCTGCAAGGCGGAAGTAGTGAGTCAATGGAACCTGCAGCTGGAAGTGGGAGTAATAGCAGTAGCAGCAGTGCTAGCACCAATAATATAGATAGTGCTCGAACAGCCAATACTTTAAATAGCTATCAAACAACTGGTACAACAAACTCTGTAAATATGCAATCTCCGAGGGAAACAGCTCTACTACAACAGCTCTTTATGTCGTATGTAAACTCGAATGGAGGACATGGTATGATATCGCCCTCATCAATGAATTTGTCTTCTAACACGATGGGCGTGTCGGCTCCACCAGCAAGCACAGTGCCTACCATTTGTAGTAGTAATACCTTGCCTGCTGTCGCTCCCACCATCACTACAACAACCATAGGCCTTCCACCATATACAGCTCCATCCCCAACGTCAGCAACAGCTTTACCAAATGGTAATAGTACGCAGTCAACATCGGTACAACAATCGCAACCATTTGGAGAGCCTCAGCGTCAATATCCACTAAACAGACCTTCATTTGCTGAGTCCACAAGCAACCTCCTATCCTCCTTATGGACGTCGGCTCCTGCAAGAAAAACAACAGGGAGATCGAGTTTTTATAGTGTACCGACCAATGGAACAGCTCTCTCACTGCCAGCGCAACAGACAATGCAGCAACAACAGCAGACAGCATTACTTTCCGAACAACCTCAACAACAGCAGCAACAGCCATCTGGGTTTGGTGATGGTGAAAGTCTCGCAGATGGTCCTCGCATAGTCAATTCACATCAACGAAGATCAGGAGAGTATAGTGGTGCTGGGTTTGAAGCCTCTATGGGACAACGCCAGAATGATTCTTCCACAGCCTCTGACAACAACCCTTGGAAACGCAAGCAACCAGATGATGATTACATAGATAAGTACGCACTATGGGGAAACCATAGCAACAACAAGCGTCAAAAATGATTGGATTTAGGGATGTGCGTTTGGTTTGAAAAAGGAGACCTAATGTTTTTGGAGCAATATATAAAGAGATATGGTAGAGAGCACGTTGTATATATAACAATAGCATATATTCACTTCTGCTGAATTTATTCGTTTTCTGTATGCGCCTTTCGCGTTATTCTTTCACCACTCTTCCCAACCATGCAACGCAGCTTCCTGTCAAAGCTTCAAGGAGCAAAGAGAAGAACCTGAGCTCCATGGCTCCAAAGATCAAGCGGCAGACAATTCGAGACTGGTTTGAGACCAAATACTTTGAGTTATTAGAGTATTGGTGGCTCTTGGAATACGATTCGTTGATTGAAGCTTCAATGTATGTTTTTTGTGAATTCTTTGCTTTAGCTCGTTACAGAACATGATTGCAATGGAATATTTCATGCATACTGATGTATATCTTCATATCTTTAGTGTTCCCCTCGTCGTGGTACTCAACATTGCCTTTCTCCTCGTGGTCATCATCCGTGCTGAAACCAACTCTGAAGAGTGGCGAGTCATGAACTGGATGGGTGCCGGATTTGATGAATTTGATACCAAAGAGACTGCTCGTAGAGCTTATAGTTACTGGGTATGTCTTTAAATCGTCACATGTTGGAGTATGTTTGGGTGTTTGGACTTGGTTAATCTAATTTGGTGTTAATGCTAATTTGGTTGTCGTGTTTTTTTTCAGTGGTCTATACTAGAAGTTATTCTATGGATCGTCTCAGTCATTAATACGGTATACCTGTTTTGTTATTCGAAGCAGTATATTATGTATTATCGAAAGAGGACGGTAAGAGTTGTCGTCAAGCAAAGACATCAAATGGTGCTTCTTGCATTGTTTGTCGTGGTTTTAACGATTACACATTGATGTTTAATAGGATAAAGTCGCCAGTAAAAATGCGAAACTCGTTTGGGTTGATACTGATGGCGCAGAGTCCGCACCTGCAGATGATGATGATCGAGATTTGGATACAGAAGAGACACTTCCAGAAAAGAGGTAAGGGCGGTTTTATCCATCAAATCAACCACTTACAGTCGTCATTTTGCAACAGAGGTCTCTGGTTATGGGAACCACTCCCGCAACGTGCATCTGCTATGAGGCGACAAAAGTGGAGATTGAACGTTTGGGAACCTCCAGCTTGGGCTTTGACCTTGTTCTAGTAAACTGATGACATTGAGACTTACTCTCTGTGTTTTTTGCTGATGGTCTTAACAAATCAAACGTTTTTGTAGTGCATTCTCCCCTCCTCAACTACTCATGCTATCAACAGCTACGTCTGAAAACTGGAGAGGATGCTTCGTCGCAGCAGCGTGTACTGGCCTGTGTGTAAGTTGTTTACGAGACAAAAGAAGGCTGAACTTGCCTAATGTTCCTTGAACACTATCTCATCACAACAGTTTGTACATCAATTAGTTCTACCTACTCACTACAGCATTCACCGACAAGATAAACGACAAGACCATCTTAGGAGGTGAACTTTTATCAGAGTTTAGTACTCGATTTGTATACAAGCAAGGTGCATTCGTGAGGAAGGACGAAAAGGCTGTCTGTACTCAAGATATGGGAGTTGGAGATGATGATGATAATGATCAGGATGGCAAAATCATTACCTCTTCTCGAACTGGGTAAGTTTGAAATCGAATGTGGCTTGATGTGCCAAGTATGGATTGCAAGAGTTGTACCGATCGCTCTTTTCATTAGATTCATGGGAGTGCCAATAACGCCAGCTGCATTCCGAAGCAATAGGCATCGCAAACCGAATCAAAAAGATATCCTGGACGACGAAGACGAAGAGGAGGACGATGATGATGAAGAGCACGATATTGAAAATCGAAGTCCTGCTGACAAGTAAGGAAGGCAGATCGTTTATTTGTATTGTAGATACACACGAAACTGATATTTATTCGTTAGGTGGACACCAGACAAGACATACAGCAATGTCTTTCAGCGAAAATGAATGAGTTGTACAATATGCACACACATGTAATATTCATATGTATTCTTTGCTTTTAGTATACACTTTCATAACAAGAAAACGATGCAGTCGCTTTTGTTTTCTGTCCAACCCATTTCAAACTAATAGAGCAGATCGTACGCGCAGAAGACCACTGCTGCAAGGCCCACGTCGAACTATTCAGCCCTGTGAGGCCTCGATATGGGGGTCCTTTTGGATTTTATCTCTTGGTAGTTTCTAGCTTTGAAGAAGCTTCGATTGTCAACAATGCCCTCCCCATATATCAACGACGTAGACTCAGACAGCTCATCGGAATCGAGCTCGGATGATGATCGATATGAAGCTGGCTCGAACGATACGTCTAATTGGCTACCTGGAAGAAACTGGTTACCGATCTTTGCTGGACATTTGATCAATTCACGAAGAGCGTTATACGACACCAAGTGGACTGAACTCTCTAAGGGTTGAATATTGGATTTCTTGTTTTATATATCAAGTTAATTGATCTAACCTTCCGTGTTTTGTATAGGAATGGACGCATTAGAAGGCTTTATAGGAAAACGAATGACCGAGCTGTATTCAGATTGTGCTCGTGTTGCTTTATCAAGATTAGCTGTAGATATCTTGTCTGTCGTATCAACATCGGAAATGAATGACAGAGCTCATCGTCGCTCTGTGGTGCTTCATGAAGCTCAAGCCTTTATCAACATCAAACGTAGAATCGACCGGTGGAAGACGAATGAGATACTTTCTAAAGACATTAAGTCAATTCAACAGGATCCGATAGTATTGCCAGAACACGTCACGAATGTGAGCAAAGATGGAACGTCGTCAACTGTCTTGGATGTGCTGGAGGTCTATATATTGTCACCGTCCCGAGCACTGAAACCATCGTTTCACACACATAAGCGCGTAATAGAAAGGCCTCCCCTCGTTCTATCTCATATGGGTCTCACCGTATATCCCTATGAGCTGATACACTTGGATGAAATCGCATCTCGATACTCCCCTTCCCTTGATTTATTCCATATCATTGATAGATTAGATCTATCTCATAATCATCTTGTATCGCTACCGTATGAGTTTACTCGGCTGGCCTCATTAACGACATTGTCTATACAAGCAAACGATATACCCGTATTTGAATCCTGGATATTGAAACCGGATTTATTTATTCAGTCACATTATAATCCAATAGTACCGTCCAACTCTGCAGCAGTGAAGCGAGTGCTGGAACGAACTCGTATAGAGGGATCTCGGCTGTCATCACTCAAGATCTTGAGTGCTCAGTGTCTTGTAGAAACCCATCTCCGTCAACCTGTCACGTATAGTAGAGAAGATCACGTACTCCAAGAATCACTACCAAGCCATCTATACGAATTCATCATGTCGTGGGCGATATGTGAGAACTGTGGCATAGTGTACTTTACCACGACTAGGATGGCTATGGTCCAAAAGTTTCAAGGTCGTGAAATTCGACCTTCGGCTGGGAGGCACGCGTTTTCACCAGGTGTATCTGTAAACAGGACCTTTTGTTCGGATTCTTGTCTGGCCGCTCACTTCCGTAAGAATGGGGAGTGTAAGTGTATTACGTGCTGTGATTCGATGTGGAGTGAAATTCTATGATTATCGACGGATAGAGAATGGAATAATTTAGTAATTTGACAATTTACACAGTTAGTTTGAAACAAAGCGTGTTGTTTGCGTCAAAGTTTGCATGGAACTGGCGGGGACTTCTCGGGCGTGGCGCGTCCAAAAGCGCACGCAAGTGCTGTGCGGGCAGGTCCGAAAAGTGGTAAGAGGCTGTTGTTTTCGATTTGAAATAAAGATTGACCGTCTTATTATATAATAGATGTTTATGACAAAACGCTTGATATGTAAATCCCCTGAAATTCCAGATATTTGAAACACTTATTGAAGACGCCGCAAACGCAACAAACGCCAGTTAGAGAGCTTTATTTATACACTGAGACCGTCAATTGTAGTGAAGGCGTTTTGAGGAAGCGTATAACTCTTTTGGCAAGTGTTTCGTTGTAGAAGTTTGGTCTCTCTTTCAACCCCAACGCAAATTTTGAAACCCTCCCTTGTTGCTCGCAAAAAGCAAGTGTTGTAGGAGAGTTATTAAACCGATTATTATCGATAGGAAAAACGCTCGAAATGGCCACTCGTTCCTCGACTGTTATTGGATCAGGTTCTTCAGCGACCAGTAGAAGTGGAACATACACATGGAGGATGGAAGAATTCCCAAAGCTGGCTGGAAGGACTTATCATGTAATTCCTGTCTCAGGTGTTTTCCAGATCAGTTTACTCATTTCAATATTACATAGTTGCCCACATTTGGATTTGATGATGTGCCCCTCTCCCTCCGTATCACTGGAGACCCAGATGAAAACGAAGGGTATGTTGATTCCTGTAATGATAGTCCACCCATGGTATCAAGCTAATCACCTTTTAGTTACCTTTCTGCATGTATGGCGACGTGTGTTATCAAATCCACATTACACGAAGCACACTGACTCGGAATTCTAGATTTGATACCGGACAATCCTGGTGGTCTACACGAAACTGTAAAGATTACAGCCTCTATACTCCTAAAGGACGGGGCAGGAACAATCATCGCAAGCGCTGCATCGGAGGGGTTGTTCTCGCAAGACGGAGGTGATGGCCAGTCGCTTTACATATACTTCGCGAGGACTAACATTCGTCTGTTTCTAGTCGCCATAGGATGGTTGAGTACGTCAATGAAATTTCAGCCCTCACTTCAAAACCTTGACATAAACTCACAAAGTCTGTTTTGATATAGAGTTTGCCACACTCGAAAAGGTTAAAACAGCCCTGGTAGAGGACATACTGACGTTTGACTTCACCTTTGCAATACAACATGAGTACAGGGATCCAAATCTTGTCGTTGCACCATCAGTCAGCAAGCTTTTAGCTAGCAACGACCTGGCAAATATTGATTTGCTGCCAAATGATTCTGATAAACCCATACCTGCTCATTCCCTCCTTTTGCAATTCTCTTCTGAAGTATTCCGAGACCTTGTGCCTCGAGAGACCAGCTTGTCTATAGGAAGTTTGCGCTGTGCTGGAAAACTTCAGATCAATCTCAACTACTCCACCCCATGTGTCATGAGAATGTTGGCCTACATGTACGGCAAATCCGAATTTCAATGGCTGCCCGTGAATGCTGATCAACGTGAGTTTCGTCTTGAACTATTCAAGGCCGCAGACTGCTATGAGCTACAGCCGTTGTATGCAGTACTTTTAAAAGACATCCAAAAACGTGATTTCAAGAGCCACACCATCGTAAGGTATCTGTCGTCGGGAGAAAAGCATCCTCAGGACAATAGCTCCATGACAACTGCTGCTTTTAAATATGTGTTTTCTTCAGATAAAATCAAGGATATCGTCAAATCAACCGCTTTTCAGGCGTGGGTAAAAGAGGAAAATAATTTTGCCTTGTTGTGGACCTTTTCGAAGAAGGATATTTGTCCTGCTGGTGAGAGATGCTTCTTCTGAGGCTTTCTTCGAATCGAGCTCACTGACTCTCCTGTTAGGTATTCCAAAATTGCTGTATAAATTGTTGTCTGAAGTCATGTAGAGTGTGAATCTAAAGGTCTCCCCGTTAACTCACAGTTTATTAATTCTACTTTGTCAATACGCAAAAACACTTTGCGCAACAATTTTCATATATTCTTATACTCAGTCTTCGAGATCAAATCTGCATACTACGGTTTTCTATCTGGAATGATGTATACTGGGTGGTCTATGATTCCAACCAACGGTTTCTCGGGCTGGTTGTTTCAAACAGAACAGGAGAGGAAGGAAACAAAATTCAAGATTCAAGACGCCCAAGAGCGTAGGAAATGATAGCCAAAATTGTGTGGCCCAAGAACCAGTTACTTCACTTTTGAAACATTCAGCAGCTGTCAAATTTCGTTTTGACATAAGCTTTTTTTGACTGCTGTTTCGCACATTTCAGTCCATCGCATCCACCCTTCGAACTGGACATAGGAATTATTCCTCAGTCTTCTTAGATCCATCAAATTGCACCATATCGCTTGTTTTGATAGTCAAGTGTTGGACATCATCACCATCACTAAGTAGGCAGGGGACTCGAAGATGTGATTTTACGACTTGCGTTTCTATATAAGTAGTTGAACGCCGAACACTCATAGTCAAACTCTCTGTTTGAATGGCACCTGTCAGTTCAGGATCCAAGAGAAGTCGGGCTTTCATTTGGAAGATCAATGGCTTTTCAAAGTTGGTGGAAGAGAAATACTGTGTGGGCCTATGCGTATGCGGTCCTACTTGGTTAGCAAAATGGTGTGCTAATAAGGCAATCGCCGCAGTCTCGGACTTTTGGATTTGTCGACGTGCCTTTAAACATCAACCTATATCCGAAGGGCCTGGGCAGTGAAGCACAAGGGCAGTTCATAATTTTGAGGTCATAGGTTGGGTTTCCTGCTAATACACGTTTTCTCCTTTAGCTAACTCTCTCTGTGCAATTTTGCAGTTGGACTCCAAATCGCCTCATCGAAATGATTGTTGAAATGAAACTAAAGAACTCCCTCCATAGTTCTTTCTATGCATCCGAAAGAAGTCTCACAGAAGGAGGACGTAATCAAGTACTCTACGGCCTTAAAGGACAAGATGTCCTACGACGTTAGCACTTCGGCGGGCACAAGTCTGTTTTCTAACAAAGAAGGTAATTGGTGAGCGTCAAGAGACTCACCAACCAGTAGGTGGATATCGCAGTACTGGATGAGCAATGACGTCTAGTCGCATATGGAACTCGTCGATTGACACTTCATCTGAATCTGAAGACCTCTTTTATGCTTTAATGTCGCCAGCATCCTGTTAAGACGCCCACGCAAAAATTGAATCAAGCAACATTCAATGATTTTTCTCAATGCTAAAATGCGACCTGTTATTTATAAACAAACCACTCTCTAAAAGTGGAAATCTGCATCATTTGCTTGTACAGGGTTCTTGACATACATTTGCTCATGATATGGCTCGTCCCCATGTCCATACGGACGACCGGGAAGCACACAATTGCTTTCCAACGTCAATCCCTCAGCCACACCAACTCCACGCCCATCAACACCATAAGGAATGACCACTCCCAGTTCATAGTTATTCATATTGAATCGATTTCTAGTGTTGACACCTAACAAAGAATCGACAATGTCAAAAATAAGATTAAGAGAGACAGGCTCAAATAACTTACTATCACCCCAAGCCGCTTTGGTTGAATTGTGACTTCCAACATATATCCACCCGACAGCACCCGAATTCGTCTTGTCCCGATTCGACGGTGGTGTGGCAGATGATGAAGCTCCTCGATTTCGAAATTCGAGTGCTTGCGGAAGATACGATTTAGGCACAGGTAATGATTTACGTATCAAAGCAGGCCTTCTCCCTTCATGTTTGGCCATTGGAGGCAGGATACCTCGTGATGACGCAACAATCACCTTGCAAAAATAGGGCATCACGTTGATCGTGACTACGTTATGAAGGAGTAACCTCACATACCTTCGAATGGCACAGAGCACCTTCCCTCGACGATTCAGCCTCTTGCATGATGGACTTCATACGTGGTTCTTCATTGTAATACTTTGCTTGGAGAGTGATAGAGCCACACGTCTGACAAGGCGAGGCAGCCACCATGTTTTTGGTTGGATATAATACGCGTAGTGGAGTGCGTTCCAAGGGAATCTCGTCCTGTCTGTTTCCGAAAGTGCCACGACATGCATGAACAAAGTCGCTGGCCCATTTTTGATTGAGACCACCCATAGATGATGTCTGGAAGCAATGAATAAATTGAGGATCTGCAATCGTGCAATGAAAATTCAACATTGTGTGGCTCACTTGGTAGTATATGGGGTCGGTAGTTTGAAATCGAATTTTAAACGAAGCAACGGCTTTAGCAAGACCAACCAATCCGAACTTACTACTTGCTGCACTATGATTTCCTTTGACTGATCCCACTACAACACCCTGCGACAAGAAAAACGTTGACGAACATGACTCACTATGGAGGAAGGCTCGTCAAAACTCTTATTCACATACCTTTGCTGCCGAAAAGTCATAATTTGAAAACATGCCTGTTATGACTTCACGAACATTTACACGACCAGCTACTGCCGGAAGGTTGATAGCAGTAATGTACTCTTGGAGAGCCGTCGAGAATTCAGACTGAGTGCCACCTTTTTGAAGTGGAAAATCTTGCACATACAAGCAGTTCTCGAGAACTTCCCTTCATTCAAAAAGACCCAAATGTCAGTAAGGAGTTAAAACTTGTGCTTTATGGTTCGAGGTTCTCACCAATCTCCAGCATACAGATTCGAAGACCCAATCACGATGCGCACAAACGAATCAAATTTCAGCAACATGAACTTGGGATGGTAGAGGCCCCAGCCTTGGACAAGCACCTAGTCGTGAATGAACATCGTTACTCGTTAACAGTGACCAGCAACAAACTGTTTGTCAAAAGCAAACAATGAGGATGAACACACCTCAATCAAGCTCGTAGGAAACCCAAGCACACCAATCCAATCCTCAACATAATGCTCTCTATGCTGCTGCTTTTTTTCACCATCCATATTACGAATCAAGACCAAATTCTTCAAATTTATCGGCTTTGTGGCATTAAGCAGCCATGTCTCGTCAATGACCATAGCAGAGCATACAGCTTCACGTAAGTATTGTGGCTGGACTAGGTCACGTATGTGGAAATATCCAGCCCGATTCCATTGAGTCACGTACGTATATCCAACTTGCCCACTCAGGAATCGAGGTTGATTTGCACCAGATCCTTGATGAGGCATATTCGGTGTTGGAGTTGGTATATTACGAGGAGCTTGTTGTCGCTGTTGCGGTCCCATAGGAGGTATGTTGTTTATCATAGTCTTCAAATTGTCGTCCTCGTCGTCAATATCGGTATCTTCATCGTTCGTATCGTCTGCTATCAAACGCCTGCGTTTGGGAGGTGGCTGGGTAGTAGGAGCAGCAGCGAGTTCATTGTCATATTCTTGCTGCATCTGGAGAGCGATTGCGTGGTCGTGGTCTTCAGCGGGACGCTTCAGTTTGACATCACCATTGCTGTTGCTGCCACTACTGCTTGCAGCGTTGGTGACGTGATTCTGCATCGAGAGCTCCATAGCTTGAGCAAGAAGAAAATCCGGATCTTCGTCTTCTTCCTGGTCGTGGTCGTTTGTGATGTCTTGTTCCTGATGAGAGCTTGTAGGTGCTTCAGGCGGAGGAGACACGCCCGCTTCCATAGCAGACAATCGAAGGACTTTTTGAAGTTGGTCCTCTTCTAGATCTTGCTGACGTCTATAAGTTTGAAGCAAAAGTGTCAAAACATTTGATCAAGACAGCAACTGAAGCTTGACAAGACAGGAACCTGCCTCTTCTCAGCAGATTCTTTCTTTGATGTGGCTATAGCGGCTTTTAGTAGTTCGTCGTCTTCCATCGTCGATTGCGAGCGTCAATGATTTTGTGTCTTATGGCAAGAAAGACTTCGCAGTTTTGAGACGAACCCCCTTAATACACGCGTCAAAGGCCACCTGTACGTGTGTTAGAGTACTATATATCGATCGCCGTACTTGTAATGCTTATATCTTATCATCCCATCTCGCAATTCGCACTTCCGATACTTGAACAAAGTCAACCAACCAACTCAACTTCCTCAACCAAGAATGTACACTTTGGCAACAGGTCTTTGGAAACAATTTTCCCAAAAGGACGAGTACTACGTGCTGATTCTAGGTCTAGACAATGCTGGAAAGACTGCAAGTGCCACTGAAACATAACGTCTTCCTGTGGCAATAGAGCTAACGTTTATCAATTAGACATTGCTCGAGAAAATCAAGTCAGTGTATACTGGAAGAGGTCTTACGCCTGAAAAGATTGTTCCGACTGTAGGAATGAATAGTATGTGGAATCACGACTAGTGTCTGGTTGGACAAATTCGAATGTCGGATCAACATTTGGAACTTTGGAATCAAACACCCTTCACTCTTAGTGGGCAAGATTGATATCAAGACAACCCGCATCAACTTTTGGGACCTAGGAGGACAGCGAGAACTACATGGAATATGGGAAAAGTACTATACTGAGGCTCATGCCGTTGTCTTTGTCGTTGACTCGACTGATCAAGAACGCATTGAGCAATGTAAAGACACTTTCGGTATGATACTTGAACCATTAGTACTTTCCATACATCACTAACGCAAAGCACATCCAGAACGGGTCGTCACCAACGACATTATAGAAGGAATACCGGTTCTAATGTTGGCAAACAAGCAAGATGTGCCCGATGCACTCAAAGTACATGAGATTAAAGAGATATTTAATCATATTGCTGTGAAACTGGGTGCGAGGGATTCAAAGGTGTTGGCTATATCTGCTTTACAAGGGTACATATGATTTGGCATTTGAACCTTTCGGTGAAAGCAACAGACTCACGTTTTTACTCTTCGCTTCATGAAATATTAGGGAAGGTGTCATGGAAGCTGTCGACTGGCTGTTCTTACGGCTACAGAGGAATAGGTCTAATAGGCCGCCTGTTCATCGTGCAGGTTGAGACCTCGTCTAGAAACTCGTCGCCATCTTGTAAACCACCATCATTTTCGTGTATACTTAACAATGCTGTCGTAATATACATATTTGAATCAAAAGATCTGTACAAAGTTGAACAAGGGACTAATTGCAAACAAGTGACGAGCACAGACTGCACCGTGATATGAGTTGGAAAAGATACAGAGCTTGCGGTTACAAAAGAGAATACACAATAAGCTTGCAAGCAGGATGAAATACCATTGACTCCATATGAAAGTCTGTAAGCGTTCCCTTTGTGAAGCTGCGAAAATAAAATAATAAATCACATACTTGATACCTGTTTAAGGACAAGACATGAAAGCAATAGTAATCGCACGAAGGGTCTCCATATTACTCTCATCCTGACCTCACTCTGCAAACTCTATTGATATACTTCAAACGCAGCCCTCTTCAACGACGAATCATCCGTAGCATATATCTGACTCATAGACAACAGGTCCAATATCGACTCTGTTGAGAAATCCCGATTCACGATATCCGCCACGACCAGTCGACATAACGCTTGCAAGTCATAATAGTCTGCTGCTTGAGTAGTTCTTTGCGATGTGTGGCGTCGGGGGCATCCAGGGGCATCCATTAGTTGACTTTCTTGCCGTAGGCGAATGCCAAGATGGATCGGACACCTGATGGTGAGGTAGTTGAGTTTGATTTTACGACGGCCGGTTGATTGGTTTATATCATTGTCGATAGATCCAGAGACCTGGCTGGCTGATGCACACTAATTTGTCATCTCATTTGCCACTAATTTTCAAAGATACTGACTTACTTGAACTCTTGCCGGATGTATAACCAACACTCGCACTATTTGGTTTGCGTTGAAGTAACGCGACACATCGGCGTGAAGCACACATTTCTCGTTTGCTGTGCGACATGGACATATATTGAACTGGGAGGAATCACTTGAGCTTTCAGGGACAAGAAATGAAACCGATCTTGGATGATGCAAACGAAAATACCCAGATTGGGCTGAAAGAGGAATAGAGAGCACATCCGTCCACTACAGGCGTTACAGGTAGCAGATCTATATGTTTCGACTAGTTGATATACTGCTGGTGTATGTGTTTGCAGCCCAAATTGTAAACTTCAACACCATACGCCAGGCGAAGACGATTCCCGATAGCAGAAGACTGCACCAAACACTGCGACATACCTGATGGATGATGCTCCTCTGTCGGACACTCGCACTCGCTATCCCTTCCCCTCAGGACCTTGTTTCAATAGATTCTATGTTGTCAAGACTTGCAAAAATGGAAACCCAATTTTTGGACATTCTGTTGGCACACGAAGGAACCAATAGACGTGATTCGAACGTGAATTCTTCTCTTTATAGAAGACAGTTCTGAAATCTTCTGTCAAATCACGTCGAAACCAGCTGGATTTGGCAGTCCCAAATCACATTTTTAAACGCACTTTAACGATGCAAGGCCAAAGGAGTCATCAGAACTCTATGAGGGCGTATTTTATCTAGTGCACAATCACGTCGACGCTCGATGTAGATCGCAAGATACAGGCCATAGCAGTGATCAGAGTTGAAATCTGTACAGGAAAAACACACATGTCTTGATTGATGTTATATATATTGCACTGAGAAGAGACACTTAAAACTACCTCTGCTCTAAGAAGATAAACACAACCAAATGCAAAGCTGGCAAAAAACTTGCGGGGGCCTATTATCTATGCAATCCTAAACGTTTTCAAGCCCATACTCCAATGAGAGCCATGAGACCAGCACCAAACCACATTGCCACGAAAGCGGCTACTTTCCGCCATGGAGGTTGAGCTCGAAACGACGGATTATGATTCATTTCTACAGATATGAGTTCCACATATGAATTGTACATAAGTACTCCTGCCCTAATGACGAAAAACCAAGAGACAGTTAGCAATCTGCAACGCATATAATCATCAGCTTCATATGAGAACTTACGATAGTCCATCAAGAATCCCTTGCATCAGAATCATTCCTTCGCTGTTGGAATTGTAGGTTGAGCGCACTGCAATGCCTATAACGGTCCCCAGCGGAGTGGTGAGTGGATACATGAGTCCATAAAAGAATATTTTGGTAAATAGTGAGGTGTTTAGTTCGGCAATCCTAGTTCCCAGAGCCATTCCCTAAGGTGCGAGTTGCAAAGTTTAGTGCATGAGCATAAAACCTTATCACCGAAAACAGCAAAAAGCTACGACGCAAACATACCTCAAAGAGCTGATGAAAGGCCAGAGCAATAATCAAACTACTCCATTCATCAGTCGCTACTCCGAGTGCAAGTCCAATAATGACTGAATGAAACACTATTCCCAATTCCAACATGAATGTGCTCAGATCAGTAAATGATTGTGGCGCAGCATGAGAATGACCTGTTACATCAGCTAACGTCACATCTCCATTCCTGCCGTGAACATGCTCCAGATGCACATGTTCGTCTGGATGTAGTGGTGACGGATTACTCGACAGCTGAGATGTTGGTGATTGCGCCCATGCCATTGACGGGACATGAGGCGAGAGACTGTGATTACTGTGATTATGATTATTGTTACTATTGACGTGATTATGGGTGTGGTGGTGGTGATGTTGCTGGTGAAGGCCTTCAGAGGAATCTGCTGGTTTGAGAGCTTCCAGAGCCTTTTTCATTTGCCAGTCTCGTCTACTCATAGCTGCAAACTCTATAGATTGTATGATAAAAGCAGCGATCATGGCAAACAGTCCTGTAAAGTTTCCACCGTAACTACTCCAACCACCTGTTAGACACGGTGACGTGAATTGGGCGAATGAGGAAGGGACCATATGAATCCAAGCTGTTGCTATAATGACTCCGCTTCCAAAAAACTTGAGGATCTGTAGTGTAAGCAAGATGCCAGGATGATTCTTGTAGCTAGAAGATCCTAGCAGTATCGTGCCGTATATTCCGACAGATGAGACCACGAGCAGTATGAAGACTCCAGCGATGTGCAATGACAAGTTATAGTCTCCTGGGGTTGTTGGATCACACACACTCGTCGTTGTGGTAGGCTCTATAAGCGAAGGGAATTTTATTGAGTGAGTGAGGTCTACTGACGCAACGACCCAAGCTTGACCAAATTTGATAGGGAATGTACTGCATCAAAAATGTTTGGGCGATGAGGTGTCCCTCCTCAAATGAGGAGGCTTTTTTTACGGCAAATTGTCTTTAAGAGCAGAGGCAAATAGGAAAGAAATGAAGACATATAGAGCCTCCATATGATGCGACTGCCCCCACACTCCTCCAAATCAGTTTTGAGCGTCCGGTCTGCGAACAAGCTCTAGGTTTTCTTTCCACTCACGTTGTGCGTTTGCGGTAGATTGGAAGACCAACAAGACGGACATGGTGATAGCCCAGTGCATCTGCCTTCAGAGTCCTTTGTCTCCTTAGTCACCCTACAAGTTTGCCTGCGGTTCCATTGTCCAGCAAATCACTTTTTGATCCTCGTGTGAAATCACAGGCAATCACTATTGGTAAGCTAAGAGAGGCCTTTGAAACGCAATCAAAGACGTAGCAATCCACGTGAATAACGCGTTCATATGTCTGATCTCACTCACTGAACTTGCTAATTCGCTCTCAACTCGCAACTAGGTTGGAACTCTTAAGAAAAATTCAAGAAAGCCTCCACGATGAAACACTTTATACCAAGAAGAAAGGTAAGCCAAGTAGATCTTATATCAATCACGCATGATTTGACCGTCTCGCACGTCGCTTTTGTAGGAACTAGTGTCGTCCATTTGCATCGATTTCGATGACACGATTTCCGAAAAGGACACAATGATGAATATCGGTATGGGATTCTTACATGTTGTCAGTAAACGCTTGTATTTCTGATGCTATCCCCGCACGGGGACAACAGGGAGAACAAACCACGTCATCGACAAAACTAGCTCTCACACACACAGTCAACACTAGTACGAGTGGTACACTCAATCTCATCGAAGCCATCTGAATCATGGTCAGAGTTCTCGAAAGCATACGCTACAGACCACAGACAACACAGAGCTTCTTTGCCAACAGACCCAGAAATCGTCACTCCAGAACACTTGATTTCGTATTTGGACTCGTTTAGTCACATTGAGCTCAAGAATGTGAAGAAGGCTCATGAGGAAGGGCTGTTACAAGGTATAGGGTTTGGGTGGTTTGGGGAAGCAGGTTGACAGACACGGTTGTCCCATATCATCAATTACCTATATATTTTTGGTTTGAGTCGCGGCGACAAGCCTTCTGACTGCTTTTTAAACCTTAAAGGTGCTAGCAGACCCCAAATGGTGGAACTGGGAACAACTATTCAACTTCGAGATGGGTTTAAAGACTTTCTCTCCAAATGGTTGAAACAAGAGCTGCCTCAAGTCACCAGAGATAACATCAAGACATTGCGCAACCGTGAAGCTTGGGTAATATCACTAAACTGGTGTGGAGATGTAATCTATGGTGCTGTTGGAGATCTGATACCTAGATCACGTATACTCGCAAACGAATTCGAGTATGATGCTGCTACGGGATTGTCGAACGGCAGGATTGTCGGAGGAGTGCATACAGGAGTTGATAAAGCGAGAAAGAGGGACGAGATATGGTTTCCCGATCACTTCTTGAATGTGTTTGTTGGTGATTCTCAAGGAGATTTGCCTTGTTTATGTAAGTGGCTACAATTTCTTGCGCCAATGTGGTGTCTTGCTCCCGGCAAACTTCAACAATCGATGTTTAGTGCTTGCGGATTTGGGTATCATCATGGGTGATAAATATGCTATGCGTGAGATATGCAAGAGGTTCAAAATACGAGTCGAGCCTCTTCCATCCAAACTAGAAGATACTCGACCTGGGGTGCTGTATCAAACACACTCGTGGCGAGACATCGAGACTCTGCTGCTCTGAAATGCTAAACCTGAATCCTTTAAAGATAGAAATAATTTACTGAAAATACAAGGTTCTTATAATAAACAAATGCAAGTGGCAACTGTGCCCCCTCAGGCCCTTAATCAATCTCTATCACCTCTGTATTCACTTGAGGTACTTTAACCTCTTTATTCCCATGAGGGTCAACTTCAACCACATCATCATCGACGTCCATATTCGATTCTCGTATGAAGGATGCGAAAGGTTCCAGATCGCTTGCTTTGGTTACATTCCCGACGAATCGTAAGCGAATGATCTTGTCATCTGGTGGTAGGAATGCATGCTGTTTGATGCACCAAAACAGGCGAGAAGTATTTGAATGCTTTAGGGGAGTTTAAATCAAACGGTCAGACACCTTACCTTCTTAACACCCTTCTTGCTCTTCACTTTACATCGCATTCCGATCAGTGTCTGTTCCAACATGTGTATTGCTGCTGGGTTTGCCTTGATACACTAACAGCAACAGCGATTTCTCAGTCAAACATGTGTTCTCCAGATTGTACATATCAAGAAATATGGTATACCTCGTCAAATTTACCAGCCTCACAACCTAACCAAAGTAAAACAAGTCAGTCACTGTTTCTGATCAACAAGTTCTTTGCTTCCATCTAACGACTCTTTACCAATGATACCAGCAGCGAGTCCATCAAAAGCAATTGCAGAAATGATGGTAGATCCTCTTGCAAACGTCATCTGTACACGTAGCTTTGCGTCAATCCAAACCACATTCCTCCAAATCCAAATGTTTGCGACAATGTGACACCTGTAGTTTATAAGAAACCTGTCCAGCTCTCGGCTGCCGACATTTCTCACAATAATATTCAGGTCTGGATTTTGATTTCGACCATGACTTTTGCCCTGCTCGTGGATGCAAGATTACTTTGGATTGACATACTTCGCATTTCCTAAGTCTAGGATGGACAGATCGTAAGTGACTGATAGCACATTTACGGGTATACATGCCCTTACAACAAGCTGTTTGGGTTACATGAGACAATGGTTCCAGTAAACCTGTTCATAATCCTTGACAATATTTTAAATTTACAGCAAAACTGTTTTTTGAAGACAGATCTGAGATCTTTGAGAGCTACCAACATAGTTCTAGTTACAGACGCACATGGATTTGGAATTGGACGTGGGACTCGGTTACGTGCAAAGGAAAACGCTGCAGCAATCAACGAAATGTCCAATTCACTTTGGCCTTTTACTCTGTGTCTTATCTACAAGTATCTACAAGATTGATGGATACTCCTCATACAATGTACCACTCAGAGCACTAGTTCGCCTCTCGACTTGATCCGCTTTAGCAGGAACAAGGCTATCGACTGCTTCCATTTCCGGTCTCGTAGACGCTAAACCAACTCCTCGAGCACCACTAAAACTGACACGTTGACTCGTTGCGACCGTATCAATCGTCCGCTGAGGCCTCCTGGATTTAGCCCAAGCGAAAGTAGATGAGATTCACATTGTCGTGGTAGCGTCGTCGGAGGGCTGACAATTGTGGAGGAACTTTGATTGAGGTGGATGATAGTTGGGTCTCATCAGTCTTTGACAAGGTCGTTTTGTTCAAGGGGTGGAGGTTTCTGTCGGCAGCTTCATTCGTGTCTGACCGTACACTGTCTCTCTTCACTGGGCCGTTGAGGATTTGTTAGAGTGAATTGTCACAATATGGTAAAGTTCTCTGGTATCCTTTTCTTTGAAAGCTGCCTCAGGAATTTCGATTGATTTCATAGCCTATACTCACAAGGCCTCCCTATTTTTAGTCCTTCAGAAATCTGAAAACACTCAAACGGATTGCGGCTGGTATGAGACAGATCCGAGCTAGGCGGAGGTAAAAGAAATAGTTTTAACTGTACGTGAACATGATACTAAACGCAGAAACGCAGACCGTGGAAATGACGCATGCAAGAAGAAATAACCAGAAGAGCCATTAATCATAGGGAATAGGGTTTTCCAACACGGTATACGCCATAGCCAACCTTTGACACGATGCTCGTTCGTGATTTGGCTCTACTGCGTAATTCATAGTGTTTTTTAATGTTTACAAGATCGCTCGATACTCATCAAACGAAGGGTTGCTCCAACCACTTGTTGGACTATCAACCTGATCCGATTTAGCAGACACAAGGCTCTCGACTACTTCCATTTCAGGTCTCATAGACACTGATCCTATTGCCCGACCACCATTGAAACTCAAGCGGTGACTAGTTGCGACCGTATCTATCGTCCTGGGCCTTTTCGACTTAGCCCAAGTAAAAGCAGACGACATCTTAGGAGATTCACTTTGTCGGGGTAGCGTGTTGGTTGGAGAGTCATCTCTGGTGGACAGTTGTGGGGCTGCTTTGATTGATGTTGATGATAATTTGCTTTCATCGGTCTCGGACAAGGCCTTCTTCACCAAATGGTGGGAATTAACATTTCCGTTGGCAACGTCATTCATATCTGATCGTATGCTGTCTCGTCTTCGGATAGGAGCTCCTGCTGACAGTGGTGGTGGGTTCATGCTCGTTGACGACACTGAGCCAGAACCAGAGTGAGCAGCCAGTTGTGGGACTTCGTAATCGGTGTCCATATGTAGTAAAGTTCTTATTGACTCGATTTGGGAGACCACCTCGACAGGTAACATCAATAGGATCCGCAAGGTACGCTACGTTATAATTGAATTAGTAACCCAAAAAGAGTGAACCAAACATGATAGCATCAAGGCTCTCGTTTACCTCATTTTCACTAATGACAGCTCCCATGATGCCTCGAACGTCACGAATATAGACCATAAACACGAAGAACAGGAAAATGGGAAAGAATGCTTTCAGGACGAATAGATTCAACGTGTCATAAGTCTGCATGTAATAGTCTTTGGTCTAGAAACGAAACTTGATGAGCACAGAATGTCATTGACGACTCAACGCACTGTGTTATGAAAGTCACGAACCTCATTCAAATACAGTCCGAATGGCTGAACAGCATAATCAAGCTGGTTTTGCAAGGTGAGGAATATCGGATCTGTAGGAGTGACTACAGTTTGAACGAGAAGTTGGTCCATGTTCGCAAAAACTTCTCGTTCCAGTTGCAGGAAATTGGTCTGGTTCAGGAACGGGCCGCTCATATAAAAGAGGTATGGAAAGGGAACCGGCGATTCTCCCATTCCCAAAGAAGCATTGCCGTTTAAAACAGCTTCAAGGAGCATATTCGAAATCTCCAAGCCCGAAAGTCCCAATTTTTTCAATTGAGCATCGGTATAGTACGAGTAACTATCGTTAGCTGCTCGTTCACTGATAGCATGGTTGGCCATGAATAAAAATGTGGGTACCGAGGCCGAGAGAGCAACACGTCTGCGCAAGGGGATTCGGCGTTAGAACAAGTTTTAAAGAACATTTGCGTGGCGAATAATCAACAGGTCCCGTATTTACTTGTTCACAACAATCAGTTGCTCCAGATAGTAGAGTCCGACAGCCATGTGTATGACCAAGATAGCACACTATTCGTATGAAAAACCACGTCAGACGTCTTTGCATACTCATCAACGCATCACCCATAACTGACCAGATATGCCAGAGCCAAAATGTACCAAAATGTGATCTTTTTAAACACATTTCTCGACCGTCCTAGTGACTGACTAGATGGGCTGTCTCCAGTATCTTCATCCTCACTATCACCGTCAGCATCGACTATTCGTGACTCTTGACTGCCTTCAAACTTGTACTTTGTGTACGTCTTGACAACAACATCCTTTGGAATTTGCAAGAAGGCTTCAATAGCCAATTGTCGACTGCGTTTTGCTTCTGCAACAGCAGGCCGAAAGAGAAAGATACCACAAGCAACAATCATTATGAAAGCGAAAGCGCCTGAAGATCCAATAAGATGGGGTAAGTTTCACGATTTTGAAAACATCCTTAGACACACTTACATAGAGACCAGCATATGACGATCTGCCTCTCGACGGCGACTTCACCCAGCGCTTCAATTGAATTCAAAACAGAAATCATGTAGTTGCCCAGGAAACCAGAGTTTCCTACTGCGTATCTGAAATCTCTCTCAACCAAGAAGGAACCCGACGTAAATACACTTTGATTCCAGTTGACAATATTCTGACAGGCAGTATCGAGCTCCATCACGTGATTCACTAGAGACACATTCGCTACTTGCCAAGCGGATGTCGCATTCGGATGATAGACCAAGGTTGGGATGATGGGATCTAAAAACGTACATTTACAGAGCGATTTTCAGGAATTGCTCCTTACGAACACCAATGCAATGCAAGATTGAGGCTTACCAGTCAGGAAATTGTAGTTTGTGTTTGGTGTGCTGTCTACCAAGGCTATCAGTCCATCGTACATACCGTACCTAGATCAGAAATGCGTCCTGTAAGTTTCTGGAACTTTGCGTAATTTTCGTCGACACTTTGCGTACAAGAGGTTAAAAGCTACGTTGCATCTAGCCGACAAGAAGGATTGAGCGATGCTGAATGCCACAGGAGATGTAATGTATTGAAGTGCCCGAACACCAGCACCAACACTAGTCCACATGGTCGCTAATTGGCCTTGGTCGTAAAGACTGGTCAAAGCTTGTGCAAGATTCTATTTGTAGTGCAAACAGTTAGTAAGTTTTGTCATTTGGAATTGGAGAAGCGCGATTATACACTAGACGTACGCCGACCAATGTCTCCTGTACGATGACAAAGGCCAAATCAATGGCCAGAACCAAAAACATAACAAGTAGCACCACTTTTGACAGGAACGACGATTGGCTGGTTTGATGAGCTTTGACCATACGTCTATATATGGCATGAGCCCGTTTCTCTCCTCGTGATCTGGATATAGGCGTTGGCAGTGGCAATATCTTCATGCCGTCCAATCCGGCATCACGGGTTGATTTCGACAAACGTGAAGTCGTGTTCATTGACGATTCTCTCCTGTAGGCAGGGTCTTCGAGCATGGGTGCTGGTCTTCTGTGAGAATACTCTTCGAGCATGGGTGCCGAGGCCAGAATGTTGGAGTCCTTGCTTGAGTGGTTTTGGTTGGCACTTTCTTCCTCCAGTGTTTCCAAAAGTTCGTCCAACTCTTCTTGCAATTCACTAGCCTCTTCCAACCGAGCAGTCAGGTTCAAGAAGTGAATATGTGCTACCAGAACGGCGGGAATTCCAGCAAATCGACCCATAAGAGCAGTATACATTTTGACAGCAGCCTTTTCATTGCGTTCCATGGTATTGGCGATTTGATTTAGGATTGCAGGGTTGGCCTTCGAAGAAGCTAAAGCAGCCCAGAAGAGACTTGCTTGTCGTGCAACTTCTCTGTGGTACTGGTTTGCCCGCTGAAATAGATGCCTATATTCAACTCGATCGACGGCATCCATTTTCAGACTTCCACCTTCTCGAGTTGCAATGCGTTCCCGGCGATCCATTTCAGCCTGATATACAGCGAACTGCACGTGCAGTGGGGGATTCTGGTTCTCAGCTTTCTTGAAATAGAACGACGAAAGCGTCAAATCATTCTTAACAAGCTTGAGAAACATCCCGTACGAGAGTGATACAATTGGACAGCCTCCAAGATTCTCCAGAGCAGCCTGATATAGCTTTTCGGCCAAGAGAATAAGCTCGGGATCATCTACCATGTAAAACACAAGTTTCAGCAAGGCATTCCTTCGTGGTAATGGATATTTCACATACTTGTAAACCACACGAAGTTCACTCGGACGATGATGTCTCGATACATGTGAATCTTCTCCATCTTGAAGAGTGCCTAAGGAAAAACAACATTCATCGCCTAAGTCGCCAGCAACGAAAAAAGTGATATAAGCCGAGAAGAAAGTACCTTCTCCCAGCAACCCTCGGGATCAGCTTGCGCCTTTTTCATCGATTCGCGGAGCTTCTTTGGGCAGATCGTCGACCATCGCCATCTGAACAAAAAGAATCCGGCCACACCAGAGACGGGCGTTCCAGCTACCAATATCCAAAATACGGCATTCTTCATATCGGTACTACTGTATGTCACGGCCACCGTCAAGATTCCAGAATACACGAGCATAAAGGCGGCAATACATCTCAGGCGATTAGTACTTTCTCGATAGTATGGCAAGAATAAAAACGATGCGACACCGCTGACAACAGTTGCGGCTAGATAAATCCAAGCGAGGGCTGATTCAGGAGCGGGGGTGCTGAAAACAATGACCAGCATAGTCTTTATAAAGTTGTCAAAGAGATGGGCCGTTGGAGTGGCTTTTGCTACCACTGAGCTCTTCGGATTAGGCTCAAAAGACGCTAGAGACATTAAACTATGATGACATTTGTTAGCAAACTGGTCGTCTGTCTATCTTGTTAAAAGCTAGTTCAAACATTGCTTACAAGCTAAACGGGATGAAGATGACAGCCGCTACCAACGAGATAATCATGACCATAAGATGCCAGTTCGTGTAGCAACCATATTTACTGACTAGATCCGTCGTATCGGGACACTTTGTCGTAGCCAACAACGTGGTCAAGACTGGTAAATACGCAACACTTTGAAGCAGTTCTACTGTGACTCTCAAAACTCGTAGAGGCCAGACTCCAGCTTTGAATTCTTTAGCATAAAATGCCCAGATCACATATGCAGCGAGTGATCCCATCACCACAATCAGCGCAAGCGAAACAGCAACCAATCCCAATAGGATTTCGTAATTCGTCATTCCAACCACTTGGTGTTCTATTTGGGCTGCCACACAAGAAGAGGAGATTGATTATAAGAATCAAATCTTGTCAAGCAATGCATTTGTCAAGTGGTGCTGATGAGGTATTCACGTACTCAATGTCAATACGATACCAGTTGCGTTCCCTGCCATTCCCCAGCTAATGTTTGTGAATGCAAAAGAGGCGGTTTGTATACACTCGATAACCAAGCTAGCAAGTGGAATAAAAGGATATCGTTCCTCTCCTCCACTCTTCATCATAGAGATCAGTGAATCAAAGAACGCGAGCTTCAGATTGTAGACGACCTTCCGCCATCCTCGTTTCTTAGCAGAAGCATTCGTCCTAGCTGAATAGGTAGATCCACTCGTTCCAGAGCCTCCCATGGCTTCACTACTTTGACGCAAGATTCGTCAAAATTGACTGGCCTAGAGGTGTAAACGGTTTGGTGAACTAACCAGATCTTGGGAATCCAACCTCTCTAAGGAATGAGATCACGACTGGTTGAATGAGCTCGGTGTGGAACTGCCTGGATCTTGCTTGATTTGAAAGACAAACTTTGAAGACTGCAACTTTGCACGGAGATTTTGGAGGAGGTCTCTTGAATCCCGTTCAGACGTCCGCGGGTCACGCACGAAGATTAGAAATAGGGTTTTATTTGGTTGTCGTTGATCCTTGTCCAATGAGCAACGGCCAACATTTCGAGTTGATGTTGGCAATACGTGCAGGTTGATGATGCAAAGTTCTTAATGGAAAACTCCTCGTTCACGTAGATCCAAGCCCATTTTGACGTGAGATTCTATATGTACTGTGTTATTTAGCATTTACTCCTTGCATCGTCGTATTGTCACGAAAGTGCACCAATTCTGCTGAATTGCTGAATCAAGCAAAAGTGTGAAACTTGAGAAGATACCTTGGTACATTCGAGAGAATCTTTGATCATTGCTACACTAGTTGAATTCCTCCTGTTCACACTGTATACTTACCATTCCTCTTGGTTGACTGGTCCAGAACCATTTCTGCAAAAACAACATGTCGCAAAAGAGGCATTTGTTTGTTTTTGACTTCGACTGGTATGGTAGATATTTAATCCTTATTCAAGTTTAAAATCCTGTTAGAACGGTTGTCTCGTAGGAGCATGATTGATGAAGATTCAGACCATTGGACATTAAGGAAATGTTCTCAAGACTTGCATGACAAGGTACTCCCGATCACCGTCAAATACATGAAATCATATCTCATTCCATTATATTTCTAGTTATTTGCCAGTTTCGGAAAGGTCCAATACACTGACTCGGTCGCGGCGCTCTTGGCCGAAGCTCACAGTCGAGGAACAACACCGGATCAAATCAAGTCATACCTCCACGCCATTCCATTCGTACGTCAATGACTTCACTCTACACACGCATGTCTTTAATGCTCAGCTCAAACATCGAATGCAAAGTGTTTACGACACAGCTGCTCGTCAATGACTGACGATCCATTCAACCTGTTTATATCCAGTCACCATCCATGGTCAAAGCCCTCGAACTCATGCACGCCCAAAACAGCGACATTCTCATCTTGTCAGACGCCAACACGGTCTTCATCGATGAGATACTGAAATCTCGAAACGCCAAACAGTATATAACTAGAGTCATATCGAATCCAGCATACTGGAGGGACGATGGAATGCTGGTGGTGAAGCGACATACTACAAACCCACCGCATGGATGTAAAGACAAACGGTGTGGGATCAACCTTTGTAAGGGCAAAGAGCTAGATGCGCATGTTGCACAGTATGGCCCGTACGATAGAATTGTGTATTGCGGAGATGGTGCTAATGATGCCTGTCCGATATTGAGACTAGCACCCAAGGATGCAGTAGTGTATAGAACTGGACGAAGGCTGGAAAAGATATTGAATGCGGATGCGCAGGAACGGAATCCCACTGTAAAGACAAGTATTATCCTGCCATTTACAACCGGTGAGGATGCTCTGGCGCATTTCACATCCATATTAAAGTCTCGATAGTAGATGGAGGATGTGGACATGAAAATATTGGGTGAACAAATAGAGAAGAAGAAAAAAGCATTAGTAGAATAACTTTTGAAGTCATTGTAGTGAACAAACAAGAAACAATAACATTAATAGAATAACTTTTGAAGATGATGATCTTTATTTGTTTAAGCGAGCGCAAACCACCTTGCAAATACACCTTCTAATTACGATGGTTGCATTGGATACGACAAATGGCAGGGGGCAATCAACGGGAGTAGACTAGATGGTCAATTAAATAGGACCAAAGAGTGTAGCTTGTATACTCCAATAACGTTGATGAGCAAAACCCTGCCATTTTAACATCTGCCAATTCTCAGCGTCAGAGGATGGGGAATCAAAACTTGTACGATTCTGTTCGGGCAGGTACCCGCTACCACCATGGCACTGAGAACTGACAGCAACAAGCTCTAGGACCCACTTTACTGTCCACTCACAATGTTGCGTGAATGAATTCAACCCGAAAAAGATTGCAAAGAAATCTCCAGCAGGCGAGGGTTCCAGGCAACTTCTTCTTCTTCAGGTTTCAGGATGTGTTGGCATCTTGTGACAGCCCGCAATGCTTGTTTCCCTCGTCGTTTTGTACACATCTGCCAATTTCTAATGTCAGAGAATGGAGGAGGGGCCCAGAATCAAAGACGACTGGTCGTCCCCATTTCCGCCACCACCAAGACACTAGGCATCGACAGCAACAGCTTCCTAGGACCCACTGTACTGTCCATCCACTCTGTTTAGTGGATGGATTCGACTCGAATTTGAATTTGCAGAAAAAACCTCCAGCAGGCAAGGTTCCTGGCCTTCTTCTTCGAGCCTCAGTAGGTGTTGGTCTCTTCGATCAATCCCCGAAGCTTATACCCTCGTCGTTATATGTCTACTTTTCCTTTGATTCGCTCGAAGGTTTCTTGGAAGTTTTGAAGTGAGGGGCATGATAGCATCAAAGTTGGATGTCATATCAATTTCATAGAACTGATGCTACAAAAGCAGATTTCAACGCGTGTCTAGTCTATCAGACGAATAATTTCCGGCTAAAGAACGTATCAATTCCATGGTAATCTCGGAAGTTCAATTTCTAAGTCTTCGCCAAAACTGCCGCAAACGAGCATAATATTCGAAAGACGAGAAAGAAAGTGAAATTGCATCCTGCATCCATGCTGAAGCGCTTGTAGATGATTCATTCCTTGTCGCATAATGGTGTTTATGACAACTGGCGTTCACCAGTGAGTTCCCAAGATCTGAAGCGAACGAATCACACGACTCCAGTTCAATACGAAGCTCGATATTCACACAAAACACCACATAACTTTATTTCATGCGACTCATTTACAGGAAAAGAAGAGTTTACTTGCTGTTGACAAGACAGAAGACAGACGACGAGACAGTTTACAACTTAGTGGATCAATCCCAGACCTTTCAGAGCGAAAGCGGTCAAGACACCTCCGGCAAACATTGACGGTACAGCTAACACGGATCCTGTGGACCTATGAACATACAATCGTGTTAGCGAAAACGTGGCGAGAAACGTTGGTTTAATTATAGCTTTGGAAGCTCCAGCATTTACAATAGTGGGAATCCGGAGATCCCGTGTCCTATTAAATGAGGTTTGTTAACCACGTTGAAATGGAAGTCAGCTGCTGGACTAGTCAAAACGCACCACTAGTACAACCCTTGGCCAATCTTGCGCCAAACAAGAGCACAGCACCTCCAACTACTTGTTGAAGAGTCGATATTGGAAGCGAGCTAGCTGATCCATAAGAGTCACTCAAGGTACTGGCAATACGACCTCCCATAAACATCGAAACCCCAAACAAAATTTTACTCCATGCCTTCATAGATGGGAATTTAAATTCCGAAACTTCGTTGCCCTTTTCTGGTACGATAAACGGCAGAATGGCAGCAATAGGAGATAAGAGTGCGACTATAGAGCTAGAACCTCCCAAAGGTTCGTGCATAATAAGCCAAGATGGGATCTGTAAGAGACCTAATACTGCTCCGGCAGACATTGGATGCCATTCGCGGGCATTCAAAGCAGCTTTTGTATCAAAGGCGGGTGCTAACGGTTGTCCCAAGACGGTAGTGTTTGGGAAGGCGACATCTAGACCATATACAACCGATATGCAAGCTACTGCAACAGCGAGAGCAAGCGAAGGATATGACACTCCAAGCGTCTTTTCAAGAGCAGGTTCGCTCTTGTTGGTATCAACTTGAGGTCGTAGCGATGGCTCCTGGTTATTGTACAGACAAACACCAGCTAGAGCCCCCATGAAGACAGTTGGAGCAGTAGCGACTCCAGCCCCAAGCTAATACCGAAGTGACAACGACATTGAGTACTAACAAGATACAAACTTTGGACTTTAGAATAGTGCTCAAGTTACCTGCGTATAGATAGTTCCTGGGCATGCTCCTACAAGTGCCATGCCAGCTCCCACAGAAGCAGCGCCAAGAGCAACAGTTCCCAATGAACGGTTTCCTCTTGAACTTTGCACCTTGTCACGATCAGACTTGAATGTGTCTGAGATGAAGTACAGCAGAGTATGCGAGACTGCAGAAAAGCCAGCAGCCGACAGGAACATTTTCAGCATCCTAAAGTCCCTCATGAGCATTTGATCTGAAATCAGTAATAAATTGAGTTCTGGCACGCCTTGAAATGATTGTGTCTCCAACAACATTTGATCACTTGCCCAAGACGACTTGAGGTTCAAAGACTCGGCCTTTGGCAAGCGAGAATCCAAACACAAGACCTAGAGCGATAGATGCCAACGGAATCTCCATTGTTTCAGGACTGGGTTTACTTGAGTTTGCCATAATTGTTGAGTTTTTGCAATTAGATATTGATCTACAGGGGTTTGATAGGTGTCAGCAACGGAAAAGTGCGAAGAATTGAGTCTTATATCAGATCTTACACTTTACGAGTTGTCTATTTCAGAAGTAACTGCCAAATTTCTTGAGAGTTTGGTTTTGGTTGGTCAGCCGTTCAAAACCAAAAAAACAACTCAATCTCAAGTAAATTAGCTCAGAAGTTCAAGCGCAACAGGAAGGGGGCCTCATCTACGTGATTTACGAATATTGACGCGTCAGAATCGTGATTCAATTGGAATTTGGAAATAAACGAATGGGATTGAAATATGGATGGCTACAACGATTCTTTACTTTTTCTTTTATCATTTTTCCTGGCGTAAATAAAACATTATTCTTGTCGTGAAACATTATTGATATTATGTAGTTATCTTGTCCTCTGATGCGAAAGTACAACTGATTAGAAGGCAGGCTCAGCATTACGTGGGATTTTGGTTGATCTTGACACAGCGCTACTTGAGTTCACCCCAAGTCAGAGTATAAGAGCGGGAGCTTTGGCAAACTTAGCCCATGTTGAGGTGATCTATAGAATTACGGTTAGTGTGGTCCAACTTGTGGCCAATTTGGACTTGTTCGGCAAAGGACTTACTACAAGCTTACGAGCTTACACTTGAGTATGTAGATTGGTCACTTCAGTCCATTGTAGAATATATTAGATGGTAGAGGAGGTTTCTAGGAGGGAATAGAGCGTGAGAAAGTGCAAAGCGTTTGACAAATTGGTGAAGGACTCACGAAGTCTGATGAACAAAGACACAGTTGGCGAAGGATGTTTTCTTAGGTTATGATAATAGTCAGGAGATAGACAGAGAATGGCTTCTAAGGCCAACTGAATCTTTGATGCGGCGGTGTTCATGATTGAGACGAGAGCAACAACAATGCAGCGAATACCTCAACGTGTGTCAAACAACAAATTTCGGTACTTCAATCTTGCCTTGGGACTCGATGTAGAATAAACCGAAGCGCGTAAGAAAGCACAAGAGTGTTGGTACAATTTCACCAATTTTGATCGTCTCATATGACTAGAGACACAACCACGCCCGCTGTCGACCCCGGCGGACTGTGCTGTTTGAAGACACACACCGCCAACACGAGTGGATTGAAGTTGATCACTGTCGAGACACGTAACATGTCTGTTAGACATAAGTATGGTTTGGCCACCGGTCTCCTGGTCTGGGAAGGGATATCTTCTCCAGTGCCTCAGGAGATGTTTTCTGCAAGTCCGCATCCGTTCGCCCCGAAGCATCCTCTCTCCTTGTTCCTATGACACAAGCACACCAAGCGAAGATGCTTTCATATGACCCAAGTCCGCTCAAAGGATGATGAGAACGGACATGACTGATAGAAATCTCTCACATCGAGTGTGATTTATCTTCCATCCCCGTCTATGCCAACTGCTGGGCTGCTCCATGTAGCTGTATGGTCCTCGTCCATGCAAATTGCAAAAATGTTTCAAATGTCTGACAATTTGAATTCCCTCAATGATTAGAGCCGTAATGAATTAGCGACAACGGGCATTTGATAGATCTGGAGATTAGTTTAGGCCAGTTTATTTCTGGCTTTGCGTTCTAGTAGGTGTTGGTTGAAAACGATTTGCTGAGATTGAAGTAGCGACCAGCACATTCAGCTGCAAAACAGAGACTGTATGCATACTGGCAATCCATGCATACCACGATATCATCACTGATTCATTACCTCGCTGCCTTTGCCTTTGAAAAGCTACTTGCAACTGCTGTGCTATGTTTGGAGCGAGTAACGTGATTTCCGAGAAAAAGCACATTGAGCGATCAAACGTTAACGAGAATCAACGAAACCAGACACTCTATGTGTTGCCTGCGTCGCTGCAACAAATTGAACATTCGAGCGGTTAAAATACGGCCAACTTCAAAATGAGTGAGCTCAGTTCAAGCAACTAGCTCACAGGCAAAACGGACTTGATTTACGCATGTTGACGCGCGACACTGATGATTCAGTCGGACCTTTCAAGCTGACTACGGGGATGAGGGTTCATTATTGAAAAAATGGCTAACTATATTCTTTGATTCGTTTACGTGTCATCGACTAGTACATGTTCACCTTTTGCTTTCTGAGGCAAGACTACCTCTTCATTTGGATGGAGAATCTGC